TTTCCTGTTGTTTCTTGGGTTTGAACTCTACACCAAAACCATCGACCTGATTTCTACAATGTTGTTTCAAGCGTGGTTCCTTTGCGCGATTATGTTCGAATATACGGCTCTCTGTATTATAAGGTGCATACATTTTTACATGCATATGATCTGCACTTCCGAAAGGCGTTGAATTTATGAAATTCTACAATTAAAAATGTGAAACTAATAATTTTTCGACTATGTGCACCTATTAGATTTTTTTAAATCCTTAACAAGATAGGAAAGTGAAAGAGTCCTTCCTTGCGGGTTTGCTGCATTTCTTGAAAAGCAAGGAGCACCAGGCCCATGCAAAAAACAGAAAGAAAGTGAAACAAACATGCACGATCTAGCCGCGTGCCGTATGAACTATAGCGGCGGGAACTAGTTTCATACACCTTGCATTTCTTGCAGGCATGAAACCTTTCAGTTATGTATTCCTTGCAAGTGGTTACTTGCACCTGAAATACTGCACCGATGGTTACTGTTGATTATGTATAATGTTCAATTATCTAGCTTTCCACTATTTAACTTACAATGCGGATCTGCGCAAGTCCCGAACTAAATATTGCTTCTAAAGAGTTAGTCGGTCAAACTGAGATGGTTAAAAAATAATCTGGGTTGCACATCGTTTGTTCCCCCATTGTTAGATAATTTTTGGGCGTGAAAATTAAAATATTTATGTTTTCCTCAAAATTCCCTTCGAAATATTAGTTTCCTTGAAATTATGGAGTAATAAAACCTGACATAGTAACTACTATCAATCAGCTTTTACTCTTTCTAATTTATAGGAAATCCAAGGATCCAGTCCGCACCAGGATGACATACTACAGATGCGTTAACCTAGTCAATACCTTGCATAACGAATCCTATCCGACTCACTTGCTGCCAGAACGGATCGCATTTTTCGGGTTTTTGGCCGTCACCTCTGCATTCGTCATTGTCCGGCTGCGTCACAATTTTCAAATCGTGGAACAGGCCCTTGTCCTACAATTCCTCGCAACAATGTTAATAATTCCCTCCGTTATTCTTAGCCTATCGGGACAAATAGTGAAGGGAAGTGCGAAACTGAAAAAGGAACTTGAGCTGAGCATCAGTAACAAAAAGAGTTTCAAATTCAAATTACATGCAAAAATGTTGAAATCCTTGAGACCTTTTGGCGTTCGAATCGCACCAATTCAAACCGTGCACAGCCACGGATTTCCAGTGTATTTGGAACACGTGGTTAGTAACTTTACAACAGTTTTGGTAAATTATTCGCACCTGGGGTAGGATTGTGTTTGCTGATTAAATTCTTTTTTCAATATTCTTTGACTAAGGTAACGCAGCAAAGAGGCAAAGAGGTTGAGGTTGACACTAATCAGAGATAAATATCATTAAAACTTAGTCCACATAATTCGAAGCTTATAAAAAATAACACTTAATTTAATAGCGTATAAATAAAAATAATAAGGGTACTCATTATACCTTCGTATCCTTAGTATTTTTTGTATAGTAAAATAAACCGTTGCAAACGAAATGTAGCAAAGGGGTGAAGCAACACGGGCACGCGGTCATCTAACACAAAAACCATTGTGATTTTTGAAATCTTCACCCCAAACCACGTGTATAAAAAGTTATAATACAAAAAAATCAACATTTTCGACTTAGGCGGCGTCTATGCTGTCACGCAGTATTGGCACGTCAAAAGTATGTATGTCGATTTTTAAACCCCCGTCCAAAACTGTGTCTAAATCGGTCGAAACAAAAAATCCGACATCTTTGACCGTTTATCTCATCACCGTGGCGCATTGACCTTATGACCTACAACGTCCATCTTCGAACTCATCCGTCAAAAATTTGAAACACGTTGGCGAAAGTCGCATTTCGAAATTTGAATCTGTTATCGTGGATACAGACGGACGGATGGATAAGGCATTTCCATAAAGGGATTTCGCTTCGCTTTACCCCTTAATAAATTATGACAGTTAAGAGATTGTCTTAGATCCGTAAGATTTCTTTACTAAAATCGCGATTTTTATGGAGCTTGATCTGACATAAGCTAACCTCGTAAACTATTCGCTGCACTGAAAAAAGGATATTTTAAGGATATGAAGACAATTATGAATACCCTGATTCTAATTTTATGATACAATTTGTATCTATTTACGCCTTGAATTGAATAGATTAAGATTTAGACCTACACAATGGACATGTATGTATAAAATGTCTAAAAAAGGACATGCACAGCAAGAATTTTCAAGCTAAAATAGTTAGTTTTTTGAAATTTGTAGACTTAGGTGAGTAGTAAAATCTGAAATGGAGAAAAATATAAGCTACAATAATTTCATAAGTATGTATGCTCATACAATACAAGTAAATTTAACCGAATAATAATTAATTAAACTACCCTGTCAATCCTTCCTGCCGAAATGGTGTCATCCCCCCAGCAGTACTCCACCTCTTCCAACTCGATTTCGTCACTTGTGAGAAATAAAAAAATCAGTTACTGTTCATGTGAAAATGTGTGGCAATTTTAAAAGGTTGCCTAGGGGGATTAGTTAAATAGTTATTTTTATTATTTTATCCCTTACAGAAATTTATTTAAGTGCCAAAATTCAAAGTTGCTATGTAGTACATACATATATTCGTCAAAGTTAAAATAGCTGCCAGGTAACCTTTTAGAGAAATTTGGCTGGGCGAAAGCTACACTTGTTTCACATGGAAAATGCATAGCTAAAAACTCTATTGGGACGTCTAAATTAAATTTTAGGAACGTTATTCTAACGGCAACGTGATGTACAATGTATACATTGTACATATGTACATATATGTACATATGTACTTGTACATAAGTGGCTCTAAAATCGCTCCCACTTATTTATGTAAAGTGCCTTAGGATACTTTATTATGTATATTACTGTTCATCCAAGAAAAAAATTGGCCCTGTAAATTCTAAAAAGTTACCTGGCGGAGTTTGCTTATTTTTAAAATTATTTTATCCCCTGCAGAAATTTATTTCGATGCTAGAATTCAAAGTTGCTAAGATATTCCTTAAAATTAATTATAGCTGCCACGTAACCTTTTAGAAAAAATTGGCTCGGGAAGGCCACATTTTGTTCGGTTGAACAGTAAGGTTGACTGCAATCTAACATAATCGTTCTATAGTTTGAATAAACTTTCTCCACTTCTACGTCTTTCAACCCCACGTTATTAGGCAATTCTCGCAGTCCTTGGTAACTTGTAAAGTCTGCAAGTTTTGTAAAATAATTTTCTAAATTTTTATAAAATCCTAGGACGCACTTGATCAAAGAAAAGTTACAAAAATTTGTGTGATAATTTTGCTTAGAAATATTTCTTTCTGAAATTTTGTAAAGGTTTGCAAGGTTACGGATTTTAAAAAGGTAATGCGTGAATTGCCTGATTGTTCCCACGCAATTATCATTGGTTTACGGTGTATGCATACCTAAATTACTAGAAAAACTTACCAAACTCTATTCCGCTTCAAGAGGAAGAATAGAACGCTGAGTTGCAAAATGATAAATAGCATGCAAAATCCTATGATGATTATCATCGTGAGAATGATGCTATGATCTAATACAAAGATTTTCAACTTTTTGTCCATAATTTTTGTCACGGGAAAACAAATTCAATTAAGGCTATCTTTGTAAATTTACGTATGTATGTATATTGAGTTAACCCTTAGAAGATACAAATTTGGTTAATGGAAAATTTACGTATCTAGTTTTTGGTAGAATATGTACGTATTTTTGCCTTTGGTTTAGAGAGACCATTATTTAATAGATTGTTGAAAATTGGCAGTAATTTGCGGGGTATACAATTTTGTGTCCAGGTTTAAACTTTATAGTTTATGACTACAAATTACACTGACTTAACTGTAGGTTTTAATTAAAATGATGCAAACCTGTATCTACAATACTATGTAATTACACTTCTCGAAATCGAATAGGATGTAGATTTTGCTATGAACATTAATTGATATTTAAGCAAATTATAAGCCACTTTGTTATCATTTGATTTGAGCAATTGTTTTAACGAGGTGCTGTTAAATATTCAGTTTGGCGTACATGGATAATTGATTATTGATCAGCTTCGAAATATAATTATGTCCAAAACACCAATTATTTAAATACATAAACCGAGAAAAATATATGTTTTTTTAAATAATTGATTAAACCAACTCTCGGAGCATTGATTGTTTTGGTGACCATTTAATGAAGGGTATATATAAATAATTCACTGTACATGACTCACTAAATATTTTCTGCATGTATATAAGCTATAATTAGTAAAGATGTAAGACATTATTCATTGTAGAAAGGATATACATTTTTCAGCATATACTAAACGATGCAAAATAAGTAATAAGTGGGATAAAAACTGGCAATTTGTATTAAAGGGATGATCAGGACTACATAATTCAGGAGATTTGGTTGAAAGATATGATTAAGTATGTAATATTATGCATCTTCTTATATGATTCTCGTGTGCATGTGTAAATACATGTATATGTGCATACATACATATATACAACCTGAAATAAATATGCATTAGAGATTAAATTGTCAAACATCTTGCACTGCTGTACATTTCTGCTGATATATAGTTAAGCAATAACTCCAAAAGTCCAAATGCATTGTAAACACATAAATGCATACTTATTCACATACTTGAAGCTCTAAATTATTATTTGTTCTTCTCGCCTTCTGTGAGTCATTTAAGTAAGTGCATGAGAAATTGGTATGAATTGTGAAGCAGCGTGATTTTGCATGATTGAAATGATGAAGGACAGACCCGTGTATTTTTTATACCAACATTCAAAGTGGAACTTGATATAATCAACATTTTTTATGCTCCCATCTGCCCGAGATGTACATAGATACGTGTTGCATGCATACTTTATGAAATTCAAACCCAAGGTCGATTTAATACAGTCGGGTTGTTTCTATGCCAATTTATTGCATGTTAACAGGAGGTAAAATTAATCTTGCTTGATGTGATTTTGGGCAGTTGGTTATTGAAACAAATAAAAATTTATACATGCCGAAAGAATCAGTTCTCTGCTGGCATGGATTGTGCAAAGTTAGTCATTTTGTTGGTGGTGTGTTGCCTTTGTGGCGTCTGGGCGAATGAAGATGGCGACGTGGTAGTTCACATTTCGACCGGGGAGGTTCACGGGGCGACGGGGCGAACAGGAAGGGATCACAAAATCTACTATTTCTTTAAAGGAATTCCTTTTGGCAAGGTGGAGAAACGATTTGAGGTAAGAAAGTTGTATGAACATTGAACTTTCAAACATTTCATGATAATGCATCCTCTTTGAAATCCGGTATAAAAATAATACAATGCGGTATTGCTACGTAATACCGTGCAGTAATAGCTCGAAATTAAAGCCTTAGGATATTTGTAACAAATTCTTTTACGGACCGGTATAATTCATCTGTGCATAATATCAAGCCTTATCAAATTTAATACCGAGAAATGAAATCATGTCACTATCCCAGATTTCTATCAATGTATTAATTAATGAATGTACTATCCTCGTATTTAGGCTTGTCACCTTATTTGCATAAATCTTACTATGCCCATTTTCGGAATACGGGATTTCTATGTCGGATAAACTTTATGCCTATTAATCGCGATTCGCAAATGCGTCAATATATGCAAATGAGGTGACCGGCTATAAAAGTTCGACAGTATGATACACAAAATTGAGCAAACGGAAGATGAGAAATCGTCTTCATTCACCCGCGAACTGGTCGTCCACAAACAAACACAACTTTGCTATTTTGCTAGATAAAAACTAGTGGCAGTTGGCTCCGTCAACTATTTACCATTTTGTAATCGCATAAAAATTATTGCGATTCCGTCGTCTTCTTGTCGCTACAAAGACATATTCAATTATTATAACCGTCGCATCCAATATATAAGGTTTGTAATTATTATTATGTACAAGTCATATTTTGAAAATATTTTGCAAGAATATTTCAACTAAACTTTCATTTTCAAAATGTAGTAGTTTCCCCTGTGACCTGCCCTGACAAATATGGAGGAGGAAGATCCACAAAGTCAAGCTCTACGAAATCCGATTGTATGACATCATGCCCTATTTTGAAATATACTTTTTCATCATAAAACAGACTGAACTACATTACATTATCTATTATAATAAATTACTGCTGTATTTCAACTTTTCAACAGATTCTTCAACAAATATTACAAAACGTCCCTCGCTCCGGAAAAACAGCACGGCTCGTTTCTCACTTCTGGAATACAATCGTACTTTCCCTTCCTTCCCCAAAGGTTGGCATCAACTCGGAGTATGGGATTGATTGCTGCAACGCCACCCCGTTTCAAATATTTTGTATCAAAATGGAGCCCCGACTTGCCCGAAGTATAACTACGCATCCAATTTCCGGTTGTTGCGACCACTCACATGCTCAAATCCTTTCGTCCGCTGAATCGAAACTGCTCCACTTTTCCTGCCAATTCGGTCACTTTATACAAGACTTCACCGTAATCTGTAACAATTCCGAGCTTATCCCAACATTGCACGAAATACTGCGAAACTGCTGCCCTAATTTGAAAAGACTCGAAATTTCTTTCGTGGGACAGATAGGATTCGAAAATTCTGATGAACCAGAATCTCATAATGGTACAGCCTCCCTCCCATGCAACTTGCGTAAGTTGGTCTCCTTCAAAATTGGAGATATCACGGGGTACCAGGGTTCCTTCAGGATGACGCAGGGGCTCCTTAATTCTGCCCCAAACCTCACCCATTTCTTCCTCAATGGCAACCACCTTCCAGATTTAAGCTCGAATAGGTCCGTCAAACTGCTTGAATTGACCATCAGTTTGATGGATATATCAGATCTCCTGAGTGCCAACTTTATCGGCAAAGTGAACAAGATCTTGGAACAGGTGAAGGATCACGTGGAATTTTTGTACTTGGGGGCTAAAAGCCTGAATGGTGACCTTACTACGGGCCCAATTGATGTACAGATTCCAAAAGTAAAGAAGCTCAAGGAATTTGGAAACTCCGCGCTGGATTTGTTTACCTGTGGGGATAAATTGCAAAATATTTGCACAGCAAGGATCCCAACTTTGCAACGTTTACGGCTTTCTCAATCTTATAAAACCGAGGAAGGTTTGGATCATATATTACGAAATATTATCGAGGAGGAGGGTTTATTCAGCGGGATAAAATATCTGCGCGTGGAGAATCTACATGCCCTCGAAGTAATTGCTGGATTAAAGACACCGTTTCCAAATTTGGAAAATTTGTCGATTTATCAGTCGGATAAGATATCGTGTCCGTTTATCGGGCTGGAACCGTATCTAAAAGCGTATTCTTCACTTGGATTGAAATTTTTGGAGATGGAATTGGCAAATGTTCATGGCGAAAACTTTTCCCACTTTATTCAAGGATTTTCAAATTGCGGGGAATTGTTGTCAGGTTTGTACAAGCAGAATTATTCCTACGCGTACAGAGTGGTTTAAATGTCACGCTGCAACGTAAAATTTTTCAATGAGAAAAATTCATAAATTTCCATTAGTTAGTTAGAAATTTTGTCATTATTGATCGATCAGTTTCGATAATAATTAATAAAAATCTTAATCCCAAATCTTATAACTGATGGCAATTTAGGGGCTTTTCCCACTTAAAAATTCTCCATTGTAGCGTAAACCACCCTGTATATGAATGTATGTGCCTATATATGTATGACTCTCTATTGATCTTTAAAAACGACACTACCTGGTATATAGGTCTCAAAGGCTTGAAAATACAGTTCAAAAATTACCTTGGCCGCGAAGGATCCGATGACTTGGATCTCGTGTCGTCGTCTCCTGTTGTGTATGTCGAAGATGGAATGGTGCGGATGAAGCACTTGAAGCAGTGGTTCTTGCAAATGAAGGGATTGGAGGACGTGCATATTTCAGGAATTGAAGTGAGTCTTGTTGAAAGTGTTCTTTTCTTTAGATATTTAAAATTTGTATGTTTCTGGCAACTATTTAAATTGTTTTTTTTGTAGTTTAAGAAAGAAACATGGAAATGGATGGACCCCTTCATTCAAGAGAACAAGATTCCAATTGTGTTCAAAAAAGATTGAATCGTTTTCCAGCACCATTTCTCCAAGAAATTTCATACTTTATGGGGTAGTGACTTCACGAATTGCAGCCAAGTTGAAGACAATAATTAATACTATTGTTTTATTTTATTTTGCTGTGCGAATTAAATTCCATTCCGGTTTCTTTAATAATTATCAAAAATGTCTAAAATAAATTTGAATACATATGTAAATATCTAAAACTTATAAAGGCCAAAAATCATGGCAAGGTAATTCGGGTCCCATTTAACTGATCATAATTAAATACTACTTCCGACCATAATTAAAACTTTTTGACCGAATACTCCCTCCTTTGAAAGATTAAGAGATGAGATAAATTTGTAGGATTCCAAACCTGCCGACAAATGGGATACTCCGTTAAAAGCTGTGAACCCGAGTCCTGGCTGTGTCACGTCGGGCATGATTGGAGGTGTGCAAGGTGTCGAGGACTGTCTCACGCTGGATGTCTACATGCCAAAAGTAAGTAACTGAAAAACTGTAAATACATTTTGTCAGAAAAATATGTAGCCAATTATTTTTTTACAATTCGCATAATTTATTTTTTATTTACTTTCAAATTTTTGCAATTTTCTTGAAATTCGTGTTTATAGCTAATATGTTTTAACCCGGATTTAAAATGGAATTTAATTTAACATGCAAATTTCTAATTTCCCAGTTGCCCACCAAGAATGGAGACCTTCTCCCCGTGATGGTCTGGATTTACGGGGGTGCCTTTATCGAGGGGAGTTCTAATCAGTACGGCGGCTCCTACTTTATGGAGAGCGACACTCCTGTGGTTCTCGTCGCCCTAAATTACAGGCTCGGCGTGCTTGGCTTTCTAAACACGGGGACCGCATCCGCACCAGGAAACCAAGGTAGGTCTTGGTTAGTTAGAACTGCTAATTATTACATAGTCACGACTTATTACTCTAAATAAATTTGCTCAAAATTTACGCAAGGGTGAGTAAAATTTTTTACGACAGAACTGGTTGTGAAAAATTGACTCTAAGATCTTCATAATTTATCCAACGTTATAAAATTTTCGCTCAACCTTGAGGAAATTTTGTCTTCGTCGGGTAAATCTTCACAAATTCTACTCAACTTTATTTAGAGTGTCGTTGTTGAAAGATAAGGAAAGGACGCGTTTATTTATATGGACAGATTCATGAACGAAATAAAATACCCATTAAATTTATGATTTAAATAATTTTAGGAAATTTTTCCTCCTAACAAAGTACCCATTACACAAATACGTAAAATATTCTACGTTAAAAAAATAATCGAATTGGCAACTTATTTGACATGAAAATTTGAGTATCCATAGAGTCAGAAATTTATATACTTAAAATGTTTTTAAAAAATTAGGAAAGATGTTTAATTTTGTGTGAATTAAAATCTTAATTTTTTTATTTTTCAATCAATTAAAAAATTCCCTTAAACATTTTTTTAGGATTAAAAGACCAGGTCCTCGGCCTTCGTTGGGTGCAGGAAAATATCGCTGCGTTTGGCGGGGATAAAAATAGCGTGACGATATTTGGCGAGAGCGCGGGTTCCATTAGTGCGTCCATGATGACGTTGTCTCCACTCGCACAGGGACTTTTTCATCGCGCCATCATGCAAAGCGGAAACGCGATCTTGCCCTTCTTCTACAAGAGTTCGAACGGTCCCGCGCTGGCGAAAATGGTCGGTCGGGAACTGGACTGCCCGACAAGCAACATGGAATATTTGGTGAAATGCTTGGAACGGATTGATCACAAATTGTTCGCACCGCTGATGAAATTCTTTGATGAAATTGTGAGAAAACATGAAATATTTTAATAATACATAAAGCCAGTTGTGAATTTTTATTGGGGATTAATTTACTAAATCGTAAGTTATGATTCGTAACGTCTTATGGTGAATTTTAACAATTTATCTAAGGGAAAATTTAGTTGGGTTTTAAAATGTTTCTCATGTTCATGAAATTTTCGCCGTGAATTTTACAAAATGAATTTTGAAATTTGTCTGTTATTTTTTAATTACAAAATCTAGCTTATCTTTTGCCATCCTGTGTTTACTGACCTATATTTTAAAATCAAGAGACATAATTTTTAAAGGTTTTCTGAAGTTTATAAAATTTTAAACTCGGTATTAGGGATGGGACGGATCTGGAATGTTTATGGGGCCATCTATCGAAACTTATAAAGGTGACGGGCATTCCGTTTTCCTGGATCAAGACCCATATCAGCTCGCCTTGGCCGGGAAGTTTTCTAAAGTGTCAATTATTATGGGAGTTATTGGTTGGGAGTGTTATGCCATGGCCATCGCGGGTGAGTATAAATTTGTTGTAATTTTTTTCATCAATTATTTCGAATTTCTAGGAAAGCTGCCGTAATGTTGCGTTTAGGTTTCATGATAATTTTGTGACAAACAGTAAATAAGTGCAATAAATTGCGCATTTGTCAGTTTAGATTTTTTAACTGCTTAAATATTTACTGATGAAGTTACATTTACAGTCATTTTGTTAAATTTTAATGAATGACATCGCGTCTAATTGACACTTTAATTAGTACACTCTTAGAAATCTGGTAGTAAAATTTGACTAGGTGGTATTCATATATTACTGTATGAAAGTAAGTGGTATGGACACCGAGGTAAAAATACCGTGTCGTAGAAATTGCTCGGTATTAAAGTTTTAAAAATCGATAGCAATTTTTTACGGACCGGTATAATTATAATACCAAGCAGTAGCAGCTTTAATTCCGAGAAATTAATAGCTGCATGTCTACAGATATGCAAAATTTCTAACTTATATTTCTCCTTTCAGTCACAAATTCGCAATCCGCGAGTCGAAAGCTAAACGCGCAATGGGGTCGGCTCGGAACGAACCTGCTCTTTTTAGCCGACACCGCTGAAGATCCCGCCCATGTTATTAACGCAATCAGGGATCACTTCATACCGGAAAAAGTTATTAATTCCACGACACAAATGAAATTGGAAGAAATGGAATCCGAACGACACTGGATTTACCCGTTTAGAACGATGGCAGCCCTGTACGCGAAACACGTTCCGGTTTATTTGTACAATTTTACGCAACAAGTCCCCGTTTTGAGCAGAGAAGATCCCGAGTTGAAACAGTTTAAGCCAAAATTAGAAGGTATTAAATTGTAAAAAGCCTTTTCACGTCGATGTTTGTAAACCGTAAACTTCGAAAATTCCTATAAACTTGCAAGTTTCTTTAGCGTATTCAAATAATTTGAGGAATTTCAACCTTTCATTTTTCAAAATTATTGAAAGTTTCAGAAATTTTATATCACTAAATTATTCCAAATAATCCACCACCTTTACACTAGCGTAGAAAGATTACGAAAGAAAATTAGGTTGAAAACTGCATATCATAAATTTGTAATGTGTATCACTGGTATTTTTGTATTCTTATGCAAATATTTTCGAGGCAATTTTACAAAATTTTCGCAGTCCGTTGCGTTACAAACATGTTTATATTTAATTGGGTTATACATATGTAATTCTAATTTACTTAGAAATTATTTTTAGCCGGACAGACCCGTCGAATCCCATCGCACGGGGACGAACTGCCCTACTTGTTTGAAATTACGGGAGTAATGGAACGGTTTTACGAGCCAATCTCAAAAGGTTCCGATGATGTTACTTTTGCGAAAGGAATTATTTCAACGTGGACAGCCTTTGCAAAAACCGGGTAAAATTAGAAGTATTTGCATAATGGATAATCTTGAATATTTTTACACATAAATATTTATAGGAAACCGACTGGACCGTGGGGACACTGGCCGACATTGGGGGATAACGACGACAAGAAAATCATGCATCTTGAAGACCCTCCGAGGTTAATGGCGAAACCTGACAATTGGGCAAAGAATGACAAGTTTTGGCAGAGTTTGAGAATCAAACAGTACGGGAAGGAGTGGCAAAATTATGAAGAGGAGGCAAAGGAAAATTGTATTTGATTGCACAACTTGAAGTTGTCAAGGCGTACTGGCGTATCGTATTTGGTTTACAATGATACTTCCTGTAAAACTAAAGAAAACCAACTTTAGCCTTGACCGAGAATTAATAAACTTGTTCCTTTTGACTTACTTAAATACCTAGCCAGATTTTGATTCATTTCCTTCATAAATTTCAATTAAAAGTATTTAATGGCAACTCTAGCAAAGTTTTACAGTAATTTGCAATTTATGAACAGTCTTGTCAGTATCTAGTTCAAATTAATACCAGTATATAAATATGTTGGGGATATCTTACAATGTACGTTGGATTAGTTTCGTATCGCCATATGTATGCTTGGTAATTTGCATAGGTACATGTTTAGAAGCAGTAGGCTCGCCAATTTGAGTTAATAGCACAGAGACACATTGCAAATTTCCATATTTATGTGTCATGTCATTCAAGACTTAATCATCAACCATTCTCAATTTGGATCAATTATCCCTTATGCACGTATAAGAATCAATGATTAATTGTGTTATACAAGAAGATAAAATTATCAATTTTGCAAATTATTTTCGCGTTAATTGAACAGCATCGTCGTGTGCTGTGTAAGCTTTCATTGAGAGTCGGTCAACCCTAACTGGTTTAGCTAGCTTAAATTTCTTACCAAATACATCTGATTTCAACTAGCGCCTGACCATGCTTACCCCTAAAGCGATCCACCATTACCATAAAATGTTGAAATTGGGGTGTGCCCTTTGCCTAATTCCTTACTCGTGGAATCCTAAAATGTGTCGTCTTTATTCTGGGACTAGGACGACGTTGAAAGTCATAAAATTTCACAGTTTTATGCTCTTCTTCGTACTGACGTTTTCCACGATCCGACTCTACCAGTCCATTCGGAAAGATCCCGCAGAATTTCCATTGTTCGTCAAGGTGCTCAACTTCGTCTGGATTTTCGCAGCGGCGTTGACGAATGTAATCTTTTATCAGTTTCATACATTGAAGTAAGTTGATTCATGTGGAAATAATATTGAAAATATTTGCGAAACAATTGGAGAATGCATTACGAGTTCTCATGTTCGCGTCGCAACATAAGTTGATGCACATTTTTGCAAATGACATGCACAATTTTTGGCGAACTTGTCCTTTTTGCTAGCGCTGCTAATTATTCGAACTCTTAATGAATACCCCCAGTGTTCCAAAAGATATTAAAATATATTTATTACGGTGAAATGCAAGCAAAATATGTATTAATCTAAGGTTTTTCATATCGCAACGATTTCATAATTTTGGCAAAGTTAAGTATGCAAGTTTTACGAAGTTGGAAACTATGGGGTCAAGAATGTGTGAACATTATCAAGGAAAGATATTTTGTAATTGTAGAAATGTCTTCCAATTTTTACAGGGATGATATCATGTCATTCATAAATTCCATCCTGCATCGGGTCGAATTGCCCCCACAAAAGGGGTCCGACTTGTCCCCCATCACCAGCCTGGTCTCGACCCACCTCTTCATTTCGCTCTTCCTGATGTACTCCAACCCCGCCCCGCACGCGCTAATTATCGCTGAAACGCCGTGTGCCCCACAGTTTATTTCTTCTCTGATTTTGGGGTGTGACACTCCGGGAACAAAGGTCCCTTATCTGCATACCGTACCATTCTTCTTCTTGGAGAACTATGTCGTCACGTTGGTCCTCTTTGAGTTGTCGTTCAGTTGGGGCGTGGTCTTCCTAGGATTGGGCTGGGCATATGGAGAACTTATCCAGATTCGGTAAGTGAGAAATCGATGGTATTGATTAGTGATTGATTATTTAATTAAGAGTTATATATGGATGCAAAAGAAAGCAATTACTTAATTGTCGAAAGGGCATACATATTTATTGTTGGAAATTAATCAAATTGCAATTGACCGGGGTTAATTAAAAACCAATTAATGGTTGACAATATTAGTTGACAGAACAATGGGGGTGAGGTACTTGATTTACAGATTATGTTTTGTAGCTCTGTAAATTATATATTTATGAGGATAAGCGAATAAACATAAATGTAAATTCTTAGCAAAGTGGTGAAGTCTTATATACACTCCGTGATGGTATTGATTTGGTGATAATTTCTCCCCGGGTTGGTAATAGTTTGATTGAATGTTTAGTTTAATCTGAAAGGTTGATTATGCAGACGCAGAAAAATTTACTTTTTCGAAAGAGTTTTTAAATAATTGCTTGAATTTACCTACTTAATGCATCCATTGATTTGATTTAATTTATCAGTCGCATCATAAATTGTACAATGCTAACCATTTTTGGTGCTAATTTGTTAACTAAGAGTTAAAAAATTGTGAGCTTGTTGTTGATGTATTTATGCATTTATAAGACGCAAGCGTTCAATGGGCATATTTCGGCTAATTATTTTCTGACTAATAATCCTCCGTTTACAGCAGTAACATCCATGCACCCAACATTTCGGGTAAATACCGTCACGTGGAACGGATCGTGTCCAGCCTAAATTCCGCCATGCGTCACTACTTGGCAACCTTTGGATCCTTAATGTTCACCATTCTAGCGCTCCTGCTTTTCGGCTGCATCCGTCTCCTCCACCTCGACATCCGATCTAATCTCATGTTCCCCTCGTGCGGGCTAAGGTGCGGCTTCGAAACGGTCACCCCACTCGCCATGGCGGGAAAGGTGCATCGAGAGAGTGAAAACTTGCTGAAGGAATGGAAAGGTCACAAAAGGTCGGGGCCATTAGAAGAGCGGGAAAGGATGAGTTTCAAATCGGTAAAGGCGACTGCGGGATCGATGTACACGTTCGAGGAATCTATCGTACTCGTCAGTCTGAACAATTTAATTCAGCTAACGCTCAATATGCTGGTAGCGTTTAAATTGAAGGATGAAACTTACTGGGAATTCAAGTTGTAAATGATGATAAGAAAATCTGAAGTATGCCACGTTTTCATCATTTGTAGGAAAACTTTTAAAATTGTAGAATCTGAAACCATTTACCAGACAAGTGTTACCTAAATAGTTTATAATTTGCTTACTTAAAAAATACCATTTATTTACATATGTATAAGTAGTCTTTATCTCAAACTTGTGATAAATAGTTGACTTGGAATTTCCGTGAGTAGTTTTACTTGGGTACGCGCATGTAAATACTACAAAAAAAATTTACGTGATATTTTGCTCAGAAATTTGTAGGGTTCAGTTCAGGTTTTTAAATTTATTAGATAATTGCTTATACCTTAGGAACTATACATAATTCAGATTCTAACGTTAAAACAGTAAAAAATGTTAGCTTCATTAACATTTGTAAATACAACGAAAAGGTTTTTATTCTGTAAAAATTATTTGTCTTTTAGCATTAAAGGAACACCCTTTTGAGCAAAATTTGTACCTTATGGGATATCTAGTTGCCTTTAAAAAGTGCAAACAATTCTGAGCCTACTATGTTTCAGATTTTGGATGCATGCATATCCACCTTGACTATGATTACTTTCAAATTTGACAATTTTAAATCTTACGAATTCAATGCTTGGCAGTGTGACGTGATTTGTTAGCATCGATCTTACATACGTATGAAATTCTAAATCGAAACGGACGTTATGAATTTCCTGGGTTTGGGTACGTACAACATGTATTCATGACATGAGTAATGTAAATATGTATTTAGATACAGACCGCCTAGATAGTGCGTTTAAAAATTACTAATCATTAATAAATTTATTCTGAAGTTAAAAAATATGACAAAATCTGGCACGATGTAAAAATTTGCACATATAAATATGAAATTTTATGTCTAATTTTTCCTAACACATTCGGCCTATATTTGGTCACATTTTGTCACATTTTTAAATTTAAAAAATAATCTTTAGCTTGTTTTGATATGTATGCTTTCTCATGAAACTTTCTGAAAGTTGAGCTCAAATATGCATGTTGCACTTGACGTACCCGGTGCGAAGGTTCTTAATACCTGTTCTAAGCTTAGCTTTGAAATCACCACAATTATGATTATTCCTACAATAGATTTTCGAAACAGTAGGGAACGCATCTATCAAAGTTTGCACACCTGATGTATCGTTACGCCCAAAAAAGACACAAATAAATTCTATGGATGTAATGTTTAGTAGTGAGACATGTTTCGAGATATCGTAGTACAATTTGCTGCAGTTGGAAAAATCTTGAAAATAAAGGCGCGTCATTGAGTCTCCCCTTATTCCAGTCGAGATTTCGCTATCATTTGCTTGACATACATCTTGTCCCGTAAATGATAGTACTTCCACATTAGTCAATGTTTTGACAAGGTATTTGACTATATTCCAGTCAGTCGGACCCGTAATGTTGATGCCTGACACGTTTTCCGAACAGTTTATTGTAGGGGCTTGCGTAATTTGTGGAAATTGAAGATAGAGATTGAAGTCTTTGGTTTTGTTACAGAAGGAGATTGATTCGTCTGGCAAGGCTGTTGTAATTTCCGTGCTGGTCGGTACTGTCGTCTCATAATTGATCTGGTGAGTACTTTCGCTAGATGAGGGAACAGATTGTGGCCTTGTCGGCGAGATGTTATACAGAGTTGTCGTGTTAAGTAGATCTGCGGGGTTCTTTGTATTAAAAAAAATTGTGAAAATGCTTACTACTAGGATCAGAATGAAGATGCAAATGACGTTCGGATTTTGCAAACAAGACCTATTCTTAACTACCGGTGTAGGACGTGAGTACCTAATTGTGCGAGTATTTGTTTCTTGACCTGGATTTTCTTTCATCTCAATTTCTTCCTTGGAACTCGATTTGTTTTCGTTGGAACCTGATTCGATAAGCGGTTTATTAGCTTCTGAAGCTCCGTCAGGTGAGTCGTCGTCAGTAAGACGAAGAGATGGCGCTAAAGGTACACATAAGCATTAAATTGTTAATGGAACTGATTGTAAATAACTTTTTAAATTAAACGGGTCTCAACACAATGTCGCGTTCATATAGGAAGTTCTGTCTTACTTTCCTGGATCTGTTGATTTTGTCCATTTTTCTGACCCGACTTTAATAGAGTTGGAGTATTTTCAAGTATGGGACGAGTTGCCTTTTCTGATGACGATGACGGATTTGACAGATCAGTTCTTGAAGCTGGTAGTTCACCACTTTTCTCTGTGCTTGAAGCAGCTTGACCAGCATGGTTATTGCTATTAAAGGTTGTCGCGAATGAAAATTCTCGGGGCAATGCACTTAATTCTGATAGGGTGCCAGATGTATTGTCACAAAAGGTTGGAATAGTATGATTGTTGTTGTTGAAATTAAGAATCTGGACATTGTTAATTTGAGTCGCACCGGCTGCAGTAAAAGTGTCTAGATAAGAAATTATTTCTGATTAGTTGTGAAGTCAAAATAATAACTGGGAACGACAGTCAGAAATATCGTATATTTTAATGATTATGTACATACTCCCGTCTGTCCTAAAACCTCCAGTTTTCTCACTCATGTGGGCCGAAGTGGGTGTGGCTGATAACACGGGGTTCAACATCGTGTGCGTACTGCGCGTACTTACTCTACTGCGCGGCGTGGGCATGGTCGAGGTGGTGGAGGCAGTAGTATTAATTGAGGAGGGCGAGGAGGCAGACATGTCGGCCGGGGTGGATTTGGCAGGGTCTACCGCGTCGAGGTTTTCTAAGAGATCTTTAATAAATAAAAACGAAAATGTAGCAATGGAAATTTGAGTTGTTCCTTAAGTTATCGCCTACAATGAAGTTTTCAAATACGAATTTGATTAGAAAGCGAATTATTTTACGTAAAATGTGAAGATTTGTATTTTTAGTTCTATTTACGTACATACCAGAAGCGCTCTTGAATTCTCCGTCTTCTAAGATGCCACGCAGTGCATCCACGGTTGCGTCGTTGCCTTTACGCCCTACCCAATTTTGCAGCAAGTTTGTGTAATAATCGGTGGAAGTGCTTGTTTCCAAAATATGCTTTTTGTATATCTTGTTCCTCGTGACTGCATCAATGCCAAGTAATCTTGCAAATTCTTCACTGCCATGAGAAAGTGGTACGTCTTGAATAAGGACTTTTACCACACTAGCAGTTGGAAAGGGTGTGGTCGACATGGATTAAAATTGCACAACTTTTGCTACAGTTTTTGTCCAGGTGGAAAATTACTCATTGAATTTAATGCAGATTGACCGGGTCAGCAATTAATTATGGGTCATGGTATCTAAATTGTTGAACTGGTGGCTCATGTCTCGGTCGACGTCCAAATTCCTTGCAAAGAGTATCCTCTAGATGAGAAAGCCGCCGTCGTTAATAACACTAACTTTCACCACGTGTCAGACATTTGGAAAGTTGTGGAGAAAAAAGTCAAATCCAATTAAACTAATTTTAATTAAAATTATTACTTGATGTTGAATAATATATGTTACAACAGATGTGAATTTATTGAGATTCTTTATTCTTTCGTGGCCAATCTGTACTCTGAAATGAGATGCGAACAGGTAGGAATCATCCTTATCATCCAATTGTATAGTTCACTTTTATTTAAGTTATAAAACCATCATGATTTGGTTATCGACCAACTCGAATTAAGGTATGTAGCCTTGCATAAAACATATGCAAATATGTTGCTGGAGTTTCGATACATATGTATGTAAGTATAAGTGTGTATGTATTATTAATCAAATCACGGATTTGATTAATTTATTACATTATAAGTATATTTATCAATATATCATATATGTATGTATATGTTCTACGCGTACTTCGTGGCTTGTTAACCTATTGTTTAATTATTTAGTTACCAACTACTAAACTTACAATTAGTATAGTGCTTAGCATTTTTATACGGCATTATGTACATATGTATAATGCCATATAAAGTTCACTTCTCGGAATGACAAGTAAGTTGAACAATTATGTAATACATACATAATTATAATTCAATTATTGAATATCCCTTAATAAATAATTTAATATCTAGTAATTTAACAATCATATAAATACACTTAACAAGAATATACAGGTTAGGTACCATAAATAAATGCATTATGTATTTGTACATATTTTATTTGTATTTTTACATAATTGTATCTACGGTACTTTAAAATTATATATGTTGTTAGATTTTGTAAGAACAATTCCCTTAATCTGTGATAATTCACTAATTACTTACATATGTTACAATATATACATTATGTTACATAATTCATTACTTCTGTAACATATCACCCCATTAGTAGATACTTCCTATAATGCCTCACTAACTCTATTAATTACCTAGAACTATTCATTTCTATCGTACTATTTACATGAGTAAAATATTTATCATCTCAAAAAAACTTTTCTGAGTTTAAAAATTTTCTCTTTGAGAAGCCCAGATTATTATTTGTACTTTCTGCGATAGAAACATTATGAATTTGTGATCAAACTTTGTAAACTTCATTTCATTCTGGCTTAAAAATTAATATCTTCTAAAGTCAATGATTTCGTGTACTGTTCCGTTACGAATTTGGTTAGATTGATATATTTCTAAAGTTCAAGTTAAAAATTATGGAAATTATTTTTTAGGAAAATGTTACTAAAGTTTTATAATCCGGGTTGACCAGAAGCTCAAATTCATAGTATGGAAAATGAAACAAATGAGGAGAAAATATGAAGGTACAAATATCTATATCCTTTCTGAAGTTGAGTCATTTTACTAATTTGAAGGGAACTAATTACGAAGAATAAAATAAATAAACAAAAATAATGAAGATTGATGAACGGAAACTATTTGCTCATTTTTGACCCGTGGAACATACTTTAGTTACGGTTTTGTACAAATGTATTAATGGCGTGAGCCTTGAGACTATGTGAATGTGATTTAGTAACTCGGTATTTTTTTCGAAGGATGAGGCATATTATTTGACGAACTATGTATGTAGGTACATAGGTATAAAATAGATAAATACTTAAATACTTACTATGGTGGTGGGCCTATTTTTAGGTCCCCTGAGATTCTGGACTATTAATATGCTTGTTGGTATAATATCAGTCTTCATAAGTATAGATCCATCGTCGATGGGAAATTTCATAGTTCCAAAAGGGAAATTTCATATGTCCAACAGTGACGGAAAATTTCATAGTTCCAAAGTTTGTGGGAAATTTCATAGGTCCAAAACTTTCGGGAAATTTCATAAACCCAAAACTTATGGGAAATTTCATAAACCCAAAACTTATGGGAAATTTCATAGTTCCAAAGTTTATGGGAAATTTCATAGTTCCAAAATTGATGAGAAATCTCATAGCTTCTCTGATATTCGGAACCATAATTATGTATGTATATGGTTTATTAGCTTTAGTCTTGTTGGATAATTGCGAACCTATTTATGCACATACGTACACAAATAGATCAAACGTGCATTGTCCTTAGTTTCGTATATCTAATATTGATTGATTAGGATTTGAGTCACCCTTTATGCGTAATTGAATATGTCGATCCATTACTTATGGATTATTAAGCAGGTTCAGGTCACATGTTTTCTTTGAGATTATGTATGTAGTGTAACGCTAACCACATATTTACATAAGTTCAGTTTTCATAGGTAATTACATAACTCCAACGTTTTGTGGGTAATTCCGTAGATTCATTAGTAATAATTAATTAGATTGATCCAACTTACGCAATTAATTACGCGAATTAGAAGGCACAAAGTTTGCCTGAGATTCGATAGTATAAATGCTTACATTTGTACATATATGGAAATTGCATGAATATATCGGCAATTAGCTTCTCTATTAAAGAACAATTTTGTCAGATTTTTTTCTAAGTTTGAAGGAAACTAATTAACATGTCAATTAAAAAGAAACCACCTTCACGAAAGTTATTAGATATGAACAGGGCTAACTAACTAATAATTGGTTATGAAGCCGCAATTTTGATTTCTGTGTTTGCAAATATTTGATTGGCATCACTTTTTATCAGAAATGCTCTGTCGCAGTAAATCTTCTCCCATCCTGGCATTCTCTAGCTGCTTTCCGTTACGTCGAACGGAGACTTTGCTACCCAAATGTCCACTGGTATGGACCAAATTAACACTATTACTGGTCAAAGTTAAATATGTAACTTAGCAATTACAAAAAAACATTCGCACATTTTGTCCTTTTGCGCAAAAGCTGATTAGCGGCCCTTATACTACTATGTATTTCTAAGTGCAAGTGAAATGCAAGATCCTTAGCATTTCGCGTACCTGCTTTTCAGCTTCGTATGCTTGGGAAGTTTAGCCTTGAAACCGAGGCAATTATTATTGTTGGTACAATCAATCGTCGAAGCATTGGGGAACACGCCAATCAGATTTTGCAAGCTACTTGTGTCGCTATCCCCAAATTTAACACAACCAAAGGCCATTGACCTAACATTTCGTGCAGAAATGTGTTCGGCGATATTGTTGTACAATGTTCCACATCCGGTAAAATCATGAAAATGCAGGTGTGTCAGTGAATCTGCAGGGATGACACTTATGTCGCCCAAATTGCCTGCTTGACAAACTTCTTGCCCATAGAAAGATAATTTTCTTACTTTGCATAACTTCCTTAAAAGTGTTTGGACAAGGTCCCATCTGCTTTTGCCCGTGATCTCGATAGCTATGACATTCTCGGGGCATTTAAAGACTGGCGGGATCCTAAAACTAGGGATACTATCCATTTTCACGATTAACTGAATATCCTCGAATGAACAAAAGTTGATTGTATCTTCAAACCAGTTAGGACTAAGGATATCCTTGGGGTTTACATCGGTATATCTTTGCTCATGGATTTCTGGGGTACACTGATACTCTATAGGTTGTTGCGTAATAGTAAGCTCTGTAGTGGGATGTTCTATGGGAATTAATGGAACTGTGGTTAAACTATTAAACGTTGAGTCACTGCTCAGAAAATGTGATGAGGATGACACATGGGAAGGTGGATCTGATGAATGAAATCCGACCAAATATCCGGTCGGGAATGCAGCCACAATTCCGATGATTAGTGCCGCTATAATACCGATAATGGGTAGCCAAGGATAGTTCAAAACGTAATATTTATATTTCGATGTAAGGTCACTTGCTTTCCCGGCTTTGAAAACGCTTCGGCATTCTATACAAGCTTTGCAAAAGCCTGAGTGCAAACCTCGCCAACAGCTTGGGACTTCTGGCTCAATAAGTTTACAATTTTCTGTAGGAACATCTTTACGATTTAGTGCTTCCCTCGATGAATTCTTTACACATTCTGAAACACAAAATCAAACCAAGGAAAATTACAAATTTAACACATGACGAGTTACTTGGCAAGTTGTGACAAATAATTGTCATTCTTGTGATAAAGTAATTTATATTTATAACGTGTCGCAAATTTTATGCATTTGCTTGATTTGGAGGGGGACCAATAAGGACTCGCAAGATATGAATGAATTTTGTAATACCATCCAAAACCGTATCAAATACATACACATATGTACGGTATCAAGCAAGGAAAATTATTTTGTTTCGTGAACTGCCATGCAAATTTAGGACTAATTTACTTACCGGCAATAGAGGAAAATCCGTTCTGAACCAAAAAATCTGATAGTTCGGTGGGTGTTTTTCCATAATCGTTGCTTATGGCCCAGTCATACATAGCGTTCTACAGAAAATATAAATATTTAAAAATTTTCAGTTTTTGGAAATAATTTTGCACAAAGTGAAGCGGAGTTCTTGTAATCATTTGTTCGTTTTGTTTGTCCGTTTGTGCGTAAGAAGTATCTCTAGATCCCCTTAACATAGTCAAACGGCGTTCTCGCCATATTGTGATTATAAATTCTGACACACAGGCCACCTCGAAAATGGAGTCACTGCGGTCAAGATGGCTTTGACATGACATTAGGACAAACTGGATCCCCGTCAATATTTTTATCCTCGTCCAATCCATTACCGTTAAGACGAGGTCAAAGGTAAAAAAAACTACAGAATTGTCATATATGGAGTCATTTTAAAGAAAATTTCACCACAAACTTAATCTTTTAATTTCTGTTACCTCCCATCAACCCGTGACCATGACACAATGTCCTGGGAGACTGAAAATCCCGCCGAAATTATTTTAAGGTCCAAGATCCTTCCATGGGTGTCGGAGAACATAAAAATATGGTTCATTTTGATTTTCGAAAGTGGGTGTGGTCAGGAGGGGGGTTTTTATGGGATTTTCAAAAAGTCGCAAATCGCCCCTAAAACCACACCCACTTTGTTCAGAATTTAACGCTGATTAAAATGAGGTATCATACATGCCCCTAGCTCTTACCATTGTCTCGCAAAAAAATAAAATGTAGCGGAAGATCGGTGTTTTTGTCAAAAATCGTCAAAATGGCCAAGTTTGAAGGGCTCTCAAATCCTTGAAACTGAATTTGCGCAGGAAATCATTTCGGAATTTTGAAGTACACCCATAGGACTAACTTAGGTCACCGCCTCGGTCGGATCTGAGACGACGGAGGTTTTTTGTAAATTGAGCTCAAAGTTGACGAAAAAAACATCGCGAAAAATGTGGATGGGAAGGGACTTTTGAAGGGCTACTAAATCCTTAAGGATAAACATTATCACCAACTGACCTATGCATCCTAAGCTACGGTCATACTACTATGTCAAAAACAGGTTTTTGGGGCAAGTTGAGATTTGTCTCACTTTGCCCGAAAAATCTCAACTTGCCCCAAAAACCTGTTTTTCGTGACCTAGAGGTCATGATTCGTGCAAATCAACAATAAAAAAGTTTTCCCAAAAAAATCACAAAAAACGGGAAAAATCCCGACGATGTCGCGTCGACGCTATTTTCGTCAACTTTGACCTCAATTTGTTAAAAACCTCCGTCTCTGATCTGACCAAGGTCATGACCTAAGTTAGTCCTATGATAGTACTTCAAAATGCAGAAATAATTTCCTGCGCAAATTCAGTTTCAAGGATTTGGGAGCCCTTTAAAGTTGGCCAATTTCAGGAATTTTTGCAGCCCTCAGGAAAGCCAAGTTTGACCCGCGTTTATAGGAACACAGTTGCTTATAATGGAGCAAAGGTTACGCTGTTACATAGTAGTATGACCGTAGCTTAGGATGCATAGGTCAGTTGGTGATAATGTTTATCCTTAAGGATTTAGTAGCCCTTCAAAAGTCCCTTCCCATCCACATTTTTCGCGATGTTTTTTTCGTCAACTTTGAGCTCAATTTACAAAAAACCTCCGTCTCAGATCCGACCGAGGCGGTGACCTAAGTTAGTCCTATGGGTGTACTTCAAAATTCCGAAATGATTTCCTGCTCAAATTCAGTTTCAAGGATTTGAGAGCCCTTCAAACTTGGCCATTTTGACGATTTTTGACAAAAACACCGATCTTCCGCTACATTTTATTTTTTTGCGAGACAATGGTAAGAGCTAGGGGCATGTATGATACCTCATTTTAATCAGCGTTAAATTCTGAACAAAGTGGGTGTGGTTTTAGGGGCGATTTGCGACTTTTTGAAAATCCCATAAAAACCCCTCTCCTGACCACACCCACTTTCGAAAATCAAAATGAACCATATTTTTATGTTTTCCGACACCCATGGGAGGATTTTGGACCTTAAAATAATTTCGGCGGGATTTTCAGTCTCCCAGGACCTCATGCATGAGGTTAAAGAAGTACGGAAATGTCATATATGTATGACAATTCTTAATATGACACCGTATATAGGGTGTAATTTTCATAATTAGAGATTCAACCCCGTCAACATTTTTGATCTCCGAATAGCCTATTACGGTGAGGCTTAGGTCAGAGGTCAGAAAAGTATATAATCCTCCTGTAAGTTGTCATTTTGAGGGAGGCTTCGCCACTAATTCAACACTGTCCTCGAAGAACCCGTGACCATGAGGACGAGTAGAAAAGTTTAACATTCCGAATTTTTAGTTTTGGTAGTTGTAAGAGTAGTAAGTGGCAGGAATTTCAGAAATCATCATCATGTCGACCTACTTCGCCCTAATTACGAGGTCAAATGTCATCTATCACACGTCAATTCAAATTGTATTAGTAGTTGATACGTCTGTAGTACTCATCTCAGTGCGCTCCGTCTATTAAGGGGTGAAAGCCCTTTATAAGATCGTTATGTCCGTCTGTCCGTCTGTCTGTCCGTAGCTCCGATAACTTTTGAACGGAAAGACATAGAGACTTGAAATTTTGAACGTAAACTCCTAACGTCAAGGGACAGGACGAGTTGGAAGATGGACACTGTGACATCGTCACCTGTGACGACGTCGTCACAGTGACGAAAAGTGACGAAAAAGTATCACATTTCAGTTTTGACATGTGACACATTTTTTTTACTATTTACAATGAGGAATTTGAAAATGCATGTCATTTTGCGCTTGAACGTCCCCTGTAACGATGATGTCGTCACAGTGACGGAGAGTGACGAAAAAGTGTCACATTTCAGTTTTGACATGTGACACATCATTTTTTACTATTTTTCAACGTCGAATTCAAGGGTGACCTCCATTTTGACCTCAGAGCTTCTGTAATGGTCATAGGCCATATATACGTTAATTTAACCGGAAATTTGACGCTGATTTCAATGGTGACCTCCATTTTGACCTCAACGGTCATAAAACGGTTAAAAAATATTTAGTGAAAATTTTGACCTGTTACACTTCAGTGACCGTTTTAAAAATTTTGAACGGGCAAAAACAATATGATATTCATTTTAACGTATGAAACACTCCTTTCACCCCTTGGTTGCATTCGTTGTAACGGTTTATTATATTGTTACTAACAATGGAGGCGCAAACCATGTTCAACCCAGATTATTTTTTGACCATGTTATTTTGGAAGAGCAAGTCTCTAGAAACAACATTTGGATCACCACTTGCGCAGATGCGCAAAATTCAGCACGTTATGAGCGCCACAAGTTCGCAAAAACGCATGATTTTTGATGCAAGGTCCAGCGCGAGCTTACTCTCGACCACTTTTTGTGAAATTGTGGCGCCCATAACCTGCTGAATTTTGCGCATCTGCGCAAGTGGTGAACCAAATGTTGTTTCTAGAGACTTGCTCTTTCAAACTAACATGGTCAAAAAATAATCTGGGCTGAACATGGTTTGCGCCTCCATTGTAAGTATATGCTATATAAGTATGAAATATTTACATCGATCGTTTTAGAGATATCCTTCACAATCTGTGGCATGCTAAGGGGTTCCTTTGATGGATGCTTGTTGAAATAATAGATTCATTCAATAATGATTTGATAAGTGATTATTAATAATCGGTCAAGATATTTCAAATCTACCGGTTCGTCGCTGTTTATTGTCCCTTTTGCTTCTGTGAGGGTCGTGGTAGTACCTCGATCCTTACCCGCGGATATTTGTCCTTTGGTGTATTTGGTCTCAAGATTCTGAATATTCTTCTGAGTTAAAATGATTTCAAACAAGGCGCCCGCCGCAGGACTGTCCCTGCTTGCTAGCTGAAGAAGGTCCAAAACTTTGAGGTGGTCATCGGACTCGGCTATTGTTGACGCAATAGCCATGATTTTCAAACACTTTGTGAATGTATTCTTTAATAGATGGCCAGAATAAGCTTTTTACATTAAAATTGGGCGTAGTTTGTTCAAACGACCTGGCATTAACTGAGTTCGAGATAACTTCTCATTTCAATTATCAATTGTGACAGGAATTATACATACATATTTACGTGCATATTCACAATGAAGAGATAAGTGTGTTGAGGATAAAAAGTCAAACAAGGATAAACATGTTGCAGTATCTACTTAAAATCGCGAGATATGTAATATTTTTATAAGTATCAGTACATGAGCAGCAGAACATTGACATTGGTGAGTATTTTGCTCTATCTGTGAGATGAATATACATACCTATGTTTGTCAAACTCTGGGTTTCGCAACAGTTTAATATCAGTTAAACTGCATACATCCTCGTAATGTATATACAAATAATTGAATGATTTAAGTAATACGCATTATTGACATGGGATTTGATAGAAATATAGTGGAGTGCCCCTGGAGTGCCTAATGTATTTGATGTCCACGGATTTAAAACTACATATAATGTATGAGATCTTTGTACGTATCAAGTACGTAACTCCTTAAAACACCATATTTTATTTAAACCGGAATAATGCATATAAGCATGACCACGTCAAACTATAAAAAGAGTTGTTAGTACATCAAGGAATCTTTGTGGTTGTTGACTACTATTCATGAAAATCATTGGAATGGAATTTGATTCACCTTGTTTATTAAAATAAGAATGACAGAATTGAGCAAACATGGGTCGAGTGGAATTCATGAAATTTCGGCAAGAACAATATACATAATTTCCTATAATTAAAATATTTATCATAAAGTGTGCACACGTAGTCATATTTATATGTACTCGAAAAATGATAAGCACAACTCTCATAATTATTTTGTTATTTCTAAAAATCTTCAATCTTGGTCGAAATCGATTTCGGCATCAATTTTCGAACTACGAATTATATTAATTGCAGGTTCGCGATAATGTGGATTGTCATCTACCACATGTATTCTTACCCGCTTGATGGCCGGGATCCAAAAATCCTTTAGCCAGTTAGAAATAAAGCATTGGTCAAAATTTCGGATTTCGAGCATAGTCATTGATGGAAAGGGCAGGTTATCCTTGTCAACTGTTGAATCATTTTGGCATCCTTGCGAAATCTTTCCATCAATCGCTAGCTTGTGAACGGCTGGGCTGAGCCACTGCAAGACTCTGCGAAGATTAGTAAAGTCGGACGCGTTTGTAAAATTATGTCCGACTTGGACCATGATCACGCCATGAGGTTGCTTATAAACTTGAAACACGTCTGGGTCTGCTTCAGTGGAATTGGTTGACCTTATCACGACCTTGGTTGTCTTGTCAGTTATTAACGCCATGTCTTCCAAATGATTCATTTCAACGTGTTGACCGGGAATTGGGGGGAAATGCTTGGTGGGAGGTGAAGTTGGATGCCTGAAAACTGATGTGGATGACGGTTCCGAGTCAGTGGATTGCGTAAGTCCCAAAGGAGCAGGGGTGGGGATGGGGGTATTTATGATAATGACGTCAGACAACCAGAGGGTGAGTAATATGCCGACCAAGATGGCGAAAACCGCTAAGACGATCCAGACGTACAAGCAAGGTATATGTATTTTCTTATTTGCTTTCGTTATGGAGGATATTCTGAAAATTTGACGAGATATAAGGAGGACACAATAAGCCAGATTTGGGAGATTAGGGATTATGAAAATTTTCTTAAATTGGATGATCCGAAAATCAGAGATTTATAGAAAATCGTAATAAATGTAATAAATGTAGCCAACTTTTACGAAATATGTTTTGAATTGCCTAGTTGTAAAATGGTGCACAAATTGTGCTTAATTTTTTTATACCTTATCCCGTCGTCAATGGGACACACTTTCAGGTCATCTTTGGGAACATTAATTTTGGTATTTTCTCCATCACATTTATTCACGGTTACGGTAGCGTCCCCACTATTTGCCAGGGTGGTATTCCCATCACCATGATTATTGATTGTCACATTGTTAACGACTGGTTTAGCGGGGAAGGAAGTAAAATCTCCATTTTCACTCCAAACGGTCGAAGTCTTTGAAACGAAATTTCCTGTCGTTGAAGAACTAAAGGATTGTCGGGTTTCACTTTCTGTTCGAAACATGTTTCCGACAATTAAGATAATTGGGAACTGATAATAGTTCCGCCAGTATAGAGATTTTGTGCATGTAAATTAGTAACGAGGCAATAATGCCAATAATGGGTATCCTAACAACGATACGCACACATCCGCAGAATATGTAGAGTGATAGGATATATATCACAGTATATGTATGCATATCAAGGACGAGTTATAAGCCAAATTGCAGCTCGTGCTCAGATAAGAGCACAATTTAAGCGGGTCCTTGTGCTTGATTCCCGGTAAACATGTATGTAGCACAGAATTATGTGTCGGCCCTGTACCTGGTGGTTTAGAGCCGCTGCATCCACTGCTCGAGCAGTTGTAGTTCCCACCAAAATTGGTAATGGGGGTGGTTTGGTTACAAATAGCTGTTCCATCGTAGGCAGGCCTTTATTTATTGCTAAGTATTTTGTACCTTCTCTGTTTGTTGGGACAACTTGTTCACGTACTCAAACACAACGCGTAAATACTTAAATGTCAATGTATTAGTGGACGCTATGAAAATAAAGTTGAATAATCTGGGCACAATCAAGAACAATTGTTTATCCTTATGAACGCGCATTTTATTTTCGTGCATACGTAAAACGATATATCATTTTATCATTAGTGTAAACTTGTATATGTAAGTTTATACTATAGTTATCTTAAAACTAATTAAACGATAACATGCGAAATGATTGGCATTGGCGTCGTGCTGACTAGAAATGTTTGCATAACCCTGAGTGTTCGCTGGTTTTGGAGGTGTTTGATCTACAATGCAAGAGAAATTTATATATTTTTTGCACTACTGACGATTTGAAAGAAATAAATTGAGCTTGAAATTAATAACAGATTTTCTTTGAATTTTCTTTGAAAGAAAGCAATTTAGTAATTTTGTTGTAAATTCTCTCTTAATTTTTTTGTGCAGAACAATGCAACGTGTAGCGGGTTTTAGCCCGCATAACGAAGGTTTTAGGGTGATTTTATACAAATAAATAAAATTAAACTACAGTCATGAAATTTTATATGTACGTACATATATATGTACCTATTGGTTTGTTTGTAAATATATGCGAATAAACAATTAGATTTTGTCGTTTTAGAGGCATTTCATTAAAAAGTGTGTTTAGAATGTGATCCGTCAATTAATATCTCTATTACATACATTCATATATGTATATGTATACATATACATATACATGTGTATAATATTATACACGTAAAATTTATGCACATACACATTTATTTCCACATGTTGGTATTTATGAATAACCTCGAGCGGTCAATGGTTTTGGTGTGGTTTGAATTTAATGCTATTAAAATTGTATACAAATTACCAAAGGTAAAATTGTCTTCGTTAATCTGTGTGTAGCACATTATTGTCTTCAATGGGTGCATAACTTATGCATAACATGCAGGTTTATTTATATACCACACATGTATACAATTTATTTATATACCAGGTACACGTATATGTACATACATAAATATGTATGCACATACTAAATTTGTACATTCTTATTCATTCATTTGTACATTCTTGTTCATTCATTTGTATATTCTTTACTCATTGGTTTGTTTGAATGTGCATGTAAATTCCTAAATTCTATCAAGTTTTGAGCTATTGTTAAGCTTAGGCGAGTTAAAAAAATTTGAGATATGTGAATGCATACATAAATACATTTATAAATATTATGACATAAAAAATAAATTAACTTAACAATAATTTAAAAATAATTAAGGTACATCAATCTGTTTCCCCGTAAAATAAAAATTATTTCAGCTGGGATTAATCAACATCTATAATACTTACTACTCAGCTTGACTTTCTTTGGGATCTTAGCTTTAAAACTTGCACAATGCTTATTATTGGAACATATAATGGTGAACAAAGAAGTAGATACGTTAATAAAATTTTGTAAACTTTGCATTTCGTTACTTTCAAAACGAACACACTTAAACGTCATTTCTTTAACGCTTGTCAAATGAACATGTTCAATTAAATCTTCGAATAACTCGCTGCATCTACTAAAATTTCGAAAATGTAGGCTCTCAATCGAATTAATCCGTAATTCGCTAGGTGACTCTTCAATTTCGGATTGACACACAGTTTCCCCGATGAAGGTGAGCATCCTTACCTGAGACATGAGTGCTACCACTTTCTGCATAAAACTCCATACAATTTTACCAGTAATTTCAATAGACGTCACATTATCTGGGCAACAAATCACAGGAATATTGGTGGCGTTGATTTCTTCAAAGTCGATGTGTAGAGTGGCGTCGGAGTAGTTGCAAAATGAGATTATTCCGTCTGCCCAATTCGGATAGTATGTTTTATCGTCATTATTATTAGATTTCTCTGGGGAAATTGAGACATGCATCTTTTCTATCGAAAATACTGCATCACAGTGAAGATTAGTTGGTAAAATTGTGCCTTCCAATTGTCGCTTCCTTCCGTAAGTTTTGGAAAATAGAAAAATGAAAAAGGCAAGGTACAGGACTAGAACGGCAAAGGCAATTGCGGGTTTACAGTTGGACTCTGTAAGGTGTTTGTTATTCCCGGTGCCCGACATAACTTGACCGGTATTGCTATTATTAGTATTTAATTTAGTATTACTAGTGGATGTCACGAGTGACTTTTCTTCTCGGGAGAATGTTCGTATTTCTGATCGTGTACATGATATACAGTCCCAAATTGATGGAGCATTTTGGTTATTGTGGTCGATATGATAAATTGTAAGGTTCCCAGCATGGACATTGTTAATTTGGATCGCACCGGTTGAAGTAATAGTGTCTAAATTTAAAAATAATGTCTTGGTATTTTTGAAACCACAAAATAATTTGTAAAATCGAAATTGTAAAAAACAAATTTTTTATTTAGCCCAAATACTGCACAATTTGGTCTGAACCCCTCCCCAGTTATGCATTGGTTAAGGAGCTGTGGTCAGGGACCATCCATAAATTACGTAACGCAAAAATCACCGTTTTCTAGACCCCCTCCACCCCTTCAACATGAGTAACATAGGCACGATATCATTGGATCCTTAGACCCACCTCCCACCCTTGCGTTGCATAATTTATGGACGGCCGCGCATGGAACTGTGCGCTTCCTGACATCGTACATTGTTAAAAATCTGAACGTCGGGAAGTCAGGCTGGTGGTCATGAATGAATAGGATAGCATAAATCCTCCGATACCAAAGCACTGCAGACATGGTTGCTGCCAGAGGTCAACGCCGCCGGTAACATTTTACGCTCCACCGACGCAGATAAATCTAATTTCCTATTCCTATAACATTGGAGCGCCGCAGCGTGCTGCCGACGCGTCGAAAAATCATCTAAAATTGGCCCCACAAGTAAATTGGTCGGCATTGACCTATGGTTTCTATTTACAATTTACCAAAGGCTTTGTAAATTTTCACTAACCAAATCGAACTGGTAATTGGGGCGCAGTTCCAGCTAAGGAGGACAACCCTTCACCGACAGAATCACCGATCTTAACGTCCTTTGGATATGTTGTAGTCCTAGGTGAGTCTAGCAAAAGTGAAGAAGGATTTCATTCAATGGCCGCATTTGCGCCCGCCACACCCATTCAAAGGTGCGAAAAACACGAAAAATACCCTGTTTTCGTTCATTCAAAAAATCACCAAAAATCCAATTTTGATCGGATTTTCATAATTTAAGCATTTTTGTGATCCTAGATAGTTGCTTTATCATATCCAATAGCTAACTCAATTTTTTTTAAATTTTTTGAGTATTTTCGAAACTTTCCTGACCAGGGGTATGCCTTCGAAAAAATCAAAATTTCAAAAAAATTGAGTTAGCTATTGGATATGATAAAGCAACTATCTAGGATCACAAAAATGCTTAAATTATGAAAATCCGATCAAAATTGGATTTTTGGTGATTTTTTGAATGAACGAAAACAGGGTATTTTTCGTGTTTTTCGCACCTTTGAGTGGGTGTGGCGGGCGCAAATGCGGCCATTGAATGAAATCCTTCTTCACTTTTGCTAGACTCGCCTAGGACTACAACATATCCAAAGGACGTTAAGATCGGTGATTCTGTCGGTGAAGGGTTGTCCTCCTAAGACCGATCATGTCATTTCGACCCGATTTATTTACTTTAGATACTCACATCAACCCAGCATTTACATATCCCCAAAAATAAATTTGGAATACCTGTAACGCCATCCTCATCGTTCGACCTGATGATTGTTTCTTTATTGAGTATTAGTGAATCTATTAAATAGAATTGGATTTACATAAATACATACATAGTTAATTTACATACATAGTTAATTTTATTTAATATTTGTTTAAATCTAACCTGACACAAATATAAAGTCGTTTTTATCAAGGATTTCTTTCAGGTTTCCAATAGTAGCGTTGACGGTCTCCCGTTCAGCCCAATTATTAATAACTTGAGTAAAGTACGTTTCATAATTGAATAAGTTCGTGCTTAAATGAAGGTTCCATTGTGTAGTTAGGCAGGCTGGAACTCCCAAAGCGTCAGCTAACCTCTCCTTGTTACTTAACAGAGCAACGTCCTTCAAGAATATGTCGACAACGGTCCGGACAGAAACTGCTGTTGTCATAACGCACGATTTTGATTGTTACCATGGCTACATCGTGGATAATTATAAATGATGTTTTCGTGATATGTGGATCTGGTCCAGCTGAGTTTTGGAATTGGGAGAGGTTAACAATATTGATAAGCTGACTACCGACTTAATAGGAATGAGTAGCTGGATATCGTACAATGTATGTATATGTACGTATGCATTACTCATCCTGTTAAACGTTTGTGCTCATCATGCCAGTGGAGTTTATCAGATTTTGTAAGATAACAACTTCAACATATTTCGTTTCATGGTTAAGGGAGGAGTATCTGCATAAATGTAGAAATATGTACATAATCATGGGCAAAGTTTTGTAAAAATGTAATTCTTGTACTCGACTGAACTTATCTAATTTAAAATAGTTCTTATTCTACCATTTGTAACTTATAAACAATGGAGTATCGTAAACCCACCCCAAAAGATTGTGAAAAATGGGCCAATATCTATTGGCCCATTTTTCAAAGAACCACCCTGTACTTAAGTAAATATGCTGTAAAATGCGAAAAAATTCATTAAATTACATGAAATCCGTCGTACGCTATGAAAATAATGAGTTTTAAAATCAATTTTCGGGTCCGGCGCCATGATTTCAAAAGGTAAAAAAAATCATGAAATAAATAAGACTAGTTATATTTGTCAAGTCAAAGAACAGTTTATTCTTTGAAAAAAGTGCATGCATGAAAAGCTTGAGGAGACAAAGCGTCTCACGCGTTATACCGCGAACTGATCACTTTTTACCGGCATATGTTAGTTCCCGCGACGAACCCAGCTGGCTTTTTTTATTTGGAGTGAGCCAGAAAGGGTTCGTGGAAAGTCCATAAGGAAAAACGCCACGATAGAGGTACGATTTCTGACCCCCTATTGGTAGTATTAACGCAGCGCGTGTGGCTGCTGCACGCCCAAGCAGTGTGTGCTTCGCCCCACGATGGTGGTGCACCACGGCTCATATCCACAAAAAATTACGTTGGAAGCACCTAGGTGGCGTCGGCACCGCCATTTAGAGCATCAAATTTGGGGAGAGGGACTCCGAAATTGGCGAAATTGGAGAGAATATGTCCAAATAGGGGTGCGGACGCCACCTATGTGCTGCAAACGTAATTTTTTGATGCCAGGATATATGGACATGAGCGGTGGTGACGGTGAGAGTTGCAGCCACCACGTTTGGCAGAAAATGCACGAAATCGTGTGTGCTCCCAAAATCTCACTTTTTTTCTGTTTTGCGGTGGCTGTTTTTCAAATACACTTTCTAGGAACTCTAACTGTGTTCAGTTAGAGTCCTCGTAGGAACTAGCTGCTTGCTGCCAGTACACAGTATGTACTTTTAGTTAGAGTCCTCGCAGGAACTAGGCATATGTAACAAAAGAAAGCAACACAATTTCTTCAATTTACAATTTGTTCTGTAATTAGTCTCGTAATTTTTGTGTTTATTTGCATTATATAGAATACATTTAACTGTTGGGACTCTTGTGTTCTTGCCGGTACAAGGGGTGGATAATTTAAGGTCAATTTTGTCCATTCAAGCTTGAAGCTCAAGGTTTGTAATTATAATTTTTGTAAAGTACATTTAATTGATCGTTATTTAATTAGTTTACATTACAAAATTTCTTAGACACATTTAATAGAAAAAATGGAAGAACTACCAAATTGCCCGATGCGACAGGCTCTACAAAATCCGTTCGTAAGTTCTCATCTCTAGCATTAATTTTTCACCAAATTATTGTACTTTAATAATATTTTACTAAACCATTCCCTTTAATTTTTGTTTAAGATTCTTCAAAAAATATTTCAAAGAGATTCTGTTTCTGGAAAAACATCACGACTCGTTTGCCACTTATGGAATGAAATCACACTGTCCCTTCCTCAGCCAAAGTTAACCCTTCTGCTTATTCTTGCCCAGAATTACAAATCATGGGGTTTCTGCTCTGACGAAGACCTTGATGATTGCTGCAGTGCTACCCCATTTCAATTATTTTGTATGAACATGTCACCCAGATTGGCCAGAAGCATAATGGAGACAGGATGTATATCAACAAATAAACATCCTAGTACGCAAAGATCTAGCGCCGCTGCATCTAAATTGCTTCACATTTCCGGCCAGTATAGTGAATTCCTTGAAGATTTGAAAATAACCTTCGTCGACAGAGACCTGATCCCAATATTGTACGCAATACTGAAAAACTGCTGCCCAAATCTGAAAAGATTAGAACTTCGATGTGAAGTGACAGAATTCTCTGATGTTAACGACGAAATTGTTGCACCCCTTCCTGTTCAGCGGAGGTTGACCTTTGTCAAAATATGGGATTATAGTAAACACTCCGGCTTCCTCAGGATGACACAATTAGTTCTTAACTCTGCCCCCAACTTGACACTCTTCATCTACAGTGGAACAAAGTATCCAGATTTAAGTCGGAATGTGGCAATTACATCGATTGAAGTTGAGTTCTGTGGTATGATCAAATCATACGATATCCCAAGTTCCACCGGCCCTCATGGACTCAACCAGATGCTGGACCAAGTTAAAGATCACCTGGAATGTTTTGACCTGGAGTGTGACCTTAGCCTAGAAAAGCGCGTGGATTCTACCCCGCACATGGCCCGAATCGGTTTCCAATTCCCTAAAATGAAGAACCTCAAAGACTTTAAAAATAACGCGCTCGATTGCTTCAGTTGTGGGGATCATTTGCAAGATATCTGCACCGCACGGATGCCAGCTTTGGAAATATTAGAGATCTCTAAACAGGACGGAACGGTGGATGATTTAGTACGAAAGATTGTACAGAAGCAGGATTTATTTGGTGGAGTGAAATATCTACGTGTGACAGATGTCCAGAATCCAGAATCAATTACTGGATTAAAAGCAGCATTCCCTAACTTGGAGAGTCTATCAATTTTATAAATTTACGGGGAAGTAGGACCACTTCTAGAAGTGTGTGCCACTCTTGGATTAAAATATTTGGATTTGGGCTTTGACGGTCATCTTGAAAATTTGTCCGAGTTTATTCAAAGTTTTCCAATTTGCGAGGAATTATTGTCAAGTATGAGTAAAATTTGTTGCATATTAGCCTCGAGTATGGACCATACTGTATGGTGCTTAATTATTGATTTTTTTAACGACACTAGACTTCAAGGTTTTGGACATCGAGTTATTTTCACGGGTTTCCGATGACTTGGATCTTGTGGTGGATGGAGTAGCGAATATGAAACGGTTTTTGTTGGGATTGAAAGGATTGGAGAACGTAATTATTTCGGGCATTATGGTGAGTCTGATTTAAAGTGATTTTAAAAATTTGCTAAATTTCATGTTTCAATTCATGTTTCGTATGTTTGTAGATTAACGATGAAACCTGGAAATGGGTGGAACCCTTCATTTACGAGAACAAAATTCCAATCGTGTTCGGCGATAGTTGCGGTGATTCTGTAAGCTTAGGCTTAAGAACTTATACACTTACGGAAATGTCGTAATTGCATGAGTACTGTGGTCACCTGAACCAAATTAAAGCTGCCTGTCTTCATATTACATACATGAATATGTACTATTTTACTACTGACTTACAATATAGACAATACTCAGCATGTTAACATTTATCTTAATTAATGTTAAATAGCGATTTGCCAGTTTTTAAAGATAATACTTGTCAATCATTTGTTTGTTGACTCCTTGTTTGTAATCGTTTTCAAGCTCTGGATTTAATATATATGTACTTATTAAATATATAATATTGGAGTCCTATGTTAAACTAAACCTATATTTGTGTATTTTTTCTTGTAGCTGTGTGACCATGAAATAATATTTTTAGATGAATTTTAGCCAGTAACCAGCCAGTAAATTACACAAGAATAATGAGAAGTCCCATGACATTTTTTGCCAGACACAATATACCTGGCATACCTTTGTTTCTTGCCAAATTTTGAACAATGATTACAGCATTTATTGTTAAATTAATGAAATAAACTTAATTATTCCTCTACCAACAATACAGAAGTGCGTTTATATATATTTCACTCTGGTCCTATTTGTTGACATGTTAATAAAGGATTACTTGACTTGACTTGACTTGTCCTAGGAACCGTACATCGGAGAAATAAATAGGATGATGGAGAGTTGTCACATAAATAATATGATATTGATAACTGGCTTATCTAAGAATACGATCAAAGATCAAAATATTGTATTGTCAAATCATCCTGATCTTTGACCAATGGCTGCAGCTTTTGATCTAGATTTTGATCTTGCAGCGTATATGTATTTACATAGTGTATATCTATCTTCATCTTGACCTTTTAGTTCAAGATAAAAATCGCAAATATGAAAAGTGTCATTTTAAAAACTATTGACACACTGATAAGACAAATATCGAACCCATGTACATAAACATGTATGTGTGCATTCAACTGCACACATTTATGTACGTACATACATCCTTTTTGTGCCAAATGCCAAAAATTTAATTAAATCCGTCATACATGCATTATAAAGTATGGAGTTGTAAATTTTTGGGTCTGATGACTTTTTTCGAAATGATAAATCATGGAATTGCAGATATATATTGCAGATAATTTTAATGCGATTGCAAAATAGTGTACAAATTAATTAATTAATTATTGTACTGTGTAAGTATGTATTATGTGGGGTAACCAGAGTACTCATAAATAAACAAGTGGACACGAAACCATGATAATAATCGTACATCGTCATCATGATTATCTATTTAATTGTAATTTAGTTAATTGAAATTTGCTTTACTGCAGTAATTTTGGTAAGTCCTAAACAATTAGAGGGGTAACCGGACATGAAATTCTATCCGTCCTCAATTATACTTATTTATTCAAGTCTAATTATGTTTATTCCCAAATAAATGGGTACAGATTATTATCAATAATTTACTCTGATCATAATTACTTGTTTTACATATGTCATGTCCAAGCTTATTTTGCGATTGTGGATTCGCAAATAAAATAAAATGGCGCCGAACAGTTCCCATCCCGCCAGTTGAGGTCGAATAGCGTGTGCTGGAATGCGCAGCTAAGATTTTCTGTATCGTCGGGTTGGTCGATGAACCATCTCGTGTAATAAAGCGGCTGCAAACTTCCTGCCACGACGTTGACCCAGACCCCCTCGCGCGACTCACGGGCCGCTATCCAACTTTGTGTTCCGGGTAGAGTTACTAAAGTTGAGGGTTCAGTCAGGTACTTATGAAATTGTAAAATGTTTCTAAAAATGTGGTGGCTTGTTTACCATTTGAGCCGCCGTTTATGAAGAGGTCAACCAAGATGCGATCCTTTCCTTCAGAGTCGACGGAAAGTAAGGTTTTGTTGTTTCGGTAGCAGGCAAAAAATGCGTCGTCAAATGGGAGCTAAAATTCGGTATGAATGAGAGGGTGGATTCGGATTTTTGTCGTATTAACAGTGAGGGTATTTATTTTGTTCCTTGGTATATTCTTACAATTAGTATCGTAAAATAGTTTACGAAGAAAAACAACGGGTTTGTAAAAATCGTCTGCTTGGTAACGTGATTTTTTGGTAACAAAATCTTGCGAGGCTTAGAAAATCCCGTAACCTTCGTAACTTATTTATTTTACGATACGAAGAATACTAAGGCGACAAAGGAATCATGAATACCTTCAGCATTTTTATTTAATGAAATTCATGAAATTTTTCTTAACAACCTGCTCGTCGGACACGTCCAGTTCCAAATCGCCATGAATTACAGTGGTGAATCCACTCTCCACAGTGACCATGGATGTCCAAGCTATTAAGACTGTCGAGATGGTGAGAAATCTCATGGCTGAAGAGGGTTTGGGTTGCATTTTTTTAATAGAAAATCTGCTAAATTATGTATGTGTTTCGGCTGAGAAAGCTGGAAACTATCTGACCAGACATGTCAGAAAAGTAAGCCTTTTTGTTTTTACCCTCGCGAAAGTATCATGGTCAATTCAATTGTTGGAGGAGCATATCGAATCAGCGATAAGTACGTATAATCCGGTAAGACCATTGTGTAACTTAAATGTGCAATGGTATGCATGTCTATCGAAGTAAGGTTAAAGGTGTTGTATGAACGTATGCATGTATGTACGTGCTACACTTTAAGGTGTGATCACGTCCAGGTCTGATTTGTGATTGATTGTGACATATTTATCTCAGTACTTGTGTGAAATTAGAGAAGCGTACGTGAGACTGGTCACACTGCATGTGGGATAATTGTTGCCAGATTAATGATTTGCATAAATTAGAAATAATTTCATAAAATGGGAAAAGGCGGCCGATTCGATCATCCAGCATATTTATTTAAATTCAGACGGTATTTCATAAAATGTATGTTTGGACATAGTGACACCAAAGTAAAATAATGCGGTGCACACTTTCCATATCTATGTATGTAGATATGTACATACATACATAGCTATCTGTTTCGTCCTAAAGCTTAGATACCCATGGACTTTTGGGGACCGTTTGACCAACATTTCACAAACGCAGGTATCAATCCACCACGCCAAATTTCATCCATCTAAAGACATGCAGTTAAGCCATATGGGGGTCACTTTTCCCAACTGGTCACTTAACTGCGAACTTTAATCAGCTTGTGGTTGCCACATCTAAACGCACACTTGGGGCAAGAATTTTTACAAATTCTCCCCTCTACACGCATCACATATTTAAATACTTGGACAAATTGCTTCCACGATTCTACCAGAAAGCAAACAATTGCTCCCAAAAGGACGGCACTACATATCACGAACGGAGTCAAGATGCCCCCATCTAGCTCCATCATGGCGGGCTTCTCTTCCCTCCTCTCACCAACGGGTTGTCTCGCGGCCCATTTCCTCACCCGCATTTCCACCTCTATCCGTTGATAAATTCCCGTTTCGAAAAGTATTCTGTAATATCCCGGGATTTTCGAGATAACTTCACCCGAGAAAATTACCCCGAACGGGACCGGATGTCGGACTTGTTTTCCCCGCGTGAATTTAATCCAGAAATAATTTCTCGACAGGAATTCAAATTCCGCGGCAAGATAGTCAGACTCCGCGATAAAGACGGATCTTCCGCACGAGACGATTTCACTTTCGACAATCTTCTGAAATTCCGAATACGATGGAAGGGAACGTTGGGAATAGATGGAAATCGGGAAATGGGGATGTTTCGGATGCAATAAATTCAAATTCGATATTTCTTCAGGGGTGAAAGTGTTGATGACTTCGTTTGACGAGAGGGGGCTTCCACCCACCACATTTTCGCTGATCCTATTCAGTGGAGTGTTTTCCTTCAGATCGAGCAAAAATTCGGGAACACGCACGACTTCATCGAGAGCTTCAAACGTGAGAGATAGCAGACTAAAACATGCTTCATTTTTGGCGGCATTCCCAATGTTCAAAATCATCAATAGATTTTCTTTGGTTACAAAATCGATATATTGACCGAATGCTTTGTAATATGGGACGACGTCCTTCAGAAAATTCGAATTTGAATTAACCCCTTTTTCGTAATCCCCGCCACACGAGAGGTCTGGAAAGGTCTCTTTCGTATAAGATTTAAACGGTGCGTTAAGTTCCGTAATCATCAAGCCACTATAGCAATTGGTCAAAATAACCGTCATCAAGCACCATGAGCCGAAGATCATTCGTAGCCAGGAGAGTTTCTCAATCTGCCCCGGGATAGGGGGCGCTTCTTCGAAAAGAGTGGCAAGTATGAAAAGCCAGGGAGAAAATAGGACCTTGTGCATTCCGATGCAATACAGAGCTAACAGGGTGACCGAAACTATTGACGCGACAGAGACCGCCAACCCTGCCCATAGCGCGGGTTGGAATGGGGTAATGTAAAACTGGAAATCAATACTGGATTCTTTGTAACACGTGAGAAATTCTAATCCGGTGAATTTTACGGTGATTTCTACATTTTCGTCGTACAATTCCCTGATTTCTAGTATTGGCGGGATATTCCTTTTAGGAGCGGGGATAAGTGAGACATTCCCGTGTCGAAATACAATCTGTGCTAGAACTTCGAAGGATCGGTTTGTCTTCGTAGAGAAGGGATTGATTTGTTGAGAACTTGATATTAAGGAGTAATTGATGTCGTCGAACCCTTGGTAACAGAATTCTTTAGGTTGACGCACCCACGAAAACATTGTGTCGACAAGAACGTCGGGCGTTTCGGTTTGCTTACAAACATCGTACGATCCTTTGACCAGAAGATGAGTCTCGCGGGGAGTGCAAATCTCCAATTTCAAACTGTTCGGAATTATGAAGGCGACCGCGAGATTTAAAAAATACAATTTCAACGGCGGGTTGAACCGATCTTTTGGCCAGATTGTGACCCAAATTGCGAACACGTTTTTTGCCATGCGCTTCGAGTATTCCCATTTGTTCGGAGTTACGCTGGAATACATGGTTTGCATCACGGTGGGATGCAGCCATGTCGTCCAATGAGGTGAAGTCATCTCCAGCAGAGGCATCCTGGGCATTAGGAGACTTACTTTGAATTGCGCGAAGCGTCCGTTTGAAATTGGGATTGCTTTAACCAAATTATTTTGATCGTGGTAGAGATGAAGTTCTCGAAGTAGATGAGGGGATCGTGCAAGTTGGAGGACTTTGAGGGGGGAATATTTCCCTAGGGAGGTTGGATTTTGGTGGAACTGGGCGGACTTAAGGCCATTGTCGGAGATAATTTAGAAATCGAAGTTGCTTCCGGGAAGGATGAAATCGTAAAGGTTTATCTGATTTTGTGAGGAAGTGAGTTCATGAAGGGTGAATAGTATTGTGGAGAAATGTAGGATGCGGGTGAAAGTTGACATTTTGAAAGTTCTTGTTAGTTTGAAGAATAAATTACCGAAATTGCTTTCAGGATTGGTAAAGTCGTAGAGGTTTATCTAATTTTGTGATGAAGTGAACTTATGAAGGGTGAATTATATAATGGAGAAATAAGTATGTATAAGATGAACTGCCGTTTTCGAAAGCTATTGTTAGTCTGAAGATAATAGATAATTGAGAAAGAGGAGCAAGCATGACGATGGACAGAAGCTTTTTAATCAACTCGCGTTACGTTACTCGCTAGACATGGAATTGGCGATAGAATAAGTAATGTGTGCGTGTCAAATAAATATAAAGAGAGGACATTACTAAATAGGTAAGTATGTATGTATGAATATTAAAGAAGTCATGCATATTATCAATTTTACAAAGTATGTACTATAATGTGTAAAATATTTATTCGAGTCCCTATAATGTACATACACAATATCTATGTACATATATGTATTATATATGTAAATATACGTATTCATAATACGTACTTATATACGTGTCTGTGTCTATATATTATGTAATATTTATTACTAAATTTGGAAACTTCGTATTTTACGATCAAGAGAAATTCATATCACAACACCAATTTTTTCATATGACACGATTTTATCATGCAAAATTACGTGCCCCCCACAATGCAAAAACTTTTAGCTTTTAGAAATCTGTCAAAAAGTAGTGTTAAAACATTTTGTCGATAATTTAAAAGATTTAAATTTCACGTATGAAGAAGTCCACAAATAAATGACAGGGTATTGAAACTCGACAGTATGTACATTTGCAATAGTTGGTTACGAATGAATGACAATAGTTCGTTAGTAAGTTATAATTTTCACATTGACAGCCTTTATTTTTTAGATTCGAATCTTGAATAATTTTTAAAAGAAATTTCTTCGAAAAATTTTGATTTAATGGAATCATATGCCATATAATTATTTATCAGGCAAAAAATTGTTATTTCACACAAGCTCATTCCCATGAAAGTTTGGTCACTATGCATAATTTACGGTTGCATTTCTAGCCAATTGACAATGGAATTTCCATATTCCTCCATCCATTCCATGTTTGCCCGCATGGTGGCGACAGAGGCTTGCAGCGAGTCGTTAATTGGGAGAAGAATTTCGCCATTGTCGACAATAAATGTGGCCAACTAATAATATTACGAGAATGTGTAAGCATTAATTAAGTACATCTTTATAACAAAATTATCACGGTTAGGCAACAATTTTTATGAGGAAATATTTGTCCATGAAATTTACACTACACGCGTCAAAAGTTGAGGAAAGGGTGAGGAGCTTTAATTTAAAGGGTCAAATAATTTTTAGTGTTTGGTACACCGTAAGAAATCTGATACAGTCACGAAGGTATTGATTTCTAGCTATTAAAATTACTACCGCTTGGTGTTAAAATTATATCGGACCGTAAAAATTTACTACCGATATGATAAAACTTTAATACCAAACTATTAATAGACGGTTAAGAGTGCAACAAATACAGAAAATCTTACCCGATTAAAGTCCGCCTGCGAAGTTAGGGACGCCACTAACGTGGACACAATTCTCTCCACTGGATTAAGCGACCCTTCCCCAAGTGTGGCGATGACTTCGGCCAGTCGAGTCTCGAGCAAGGTGAACACGAGAGGTTTGCCAAGTTTGTTCATGGCGACGCGTTGAATTGCCGTGACGGCGTCGGATCTCACCAAGGAGGACGAGGTATTCATGGCCTTCTCGATTAGGCTGGAAAATGTTAAATTATTTTAAATCCGAATTTTAGTGTTTAAACACCTTTGCATTCGGATGTCTGTAACCGTGCAACGTTTGTGAAATTATTTTGCAAGCATTTTGCAAGAAAAAAGATTAAAAATGGCTCATGTTTAGACTTATGTCTAAAGCATAAGCTAATTTGCAATTTTTTTTATAAACGCTTCCTGAATTTATCCCGTTACAGACATTCGAGTTAATCGGGCTAAAGTTCAAAAGTTGTCCACAGTTCGTAACTTACTCTTGTAAAGTGACAGTGTCCTGACTGCATCCCAAACCATTGAGTAGTCTCGGCTTGACGGGCGAACCCTGAGGAACCTCGAGATAGCGGGAGAACGTAAAATCGTACGCGGTGCGAGGTCCAGATGCGACAATGGCGCAATGCAGGACGGCTTGAGCATTTATGTTGACGCTGGGTTAAAAATAGATATAAAATTTCATGTCACATTTCTTACTTTTCAAAAGTAATTGAACTTTACGGATTTATCGCAGGATTCGCGGCCCATTCGGTGAAAAGCTGTTGCGCGAAGTTGTAGCATTGTGGTAGTTGCATGGAACACGCCCAATCGAGAAGTTTTGCCCGGTAGATGGCAGCAATTCCGATGTGATCGGGTGAATCGGGAATGCCAACTTTGAGCAGGGCTTGTTCCAGGCGGGGGAGGAGGTAGGCCTAAATTATTTGCATAGAAATTGGAGTCATAGATTCAAATTATAACTGAAATTCGTAATACCCGCCAAGCCTGATACGAATCGGACGCGCTGAGCAAGTTGTGCGTTTTCTGGAGATGCCTAAATATGACGTCCCACACTGTAAAGTGATCCTCCTGGGCGAGATAGGTCGTCAAATCGAGCGCGGTTTGGATAGCAATTCCATCTTTGAAAAGATAATTGTTTAGTGTAAATTAGCCATAATCAATAACAGATATGATTAACTCTATTATTTGTGAATGGCTAAGCGGTATAAATTTCTGAAAATAATTTTGGCCATTTATAAAATAAAATCAATTTGTGCAAATTTACGGTACATTGGCCTTCGAACTATTTGCAAACTTCAAAAAATGTTAGGAAGTTTGATAAGTTTCTATATATTTATGAGGTTATACAAATTTGAATAAGTAAATTGCAATTTGTTTTAGTATGCATAAATATTTAAACAAATTACATTACAATTTTGAAAAATTTCAAAAATGTGCAGAAAATTGAGGTAGTCAATTGTGTACGTGGGTGTTTTATTATTGATTTTCAAAAGGTATGTTCCGCACTGTTTCTGACCAAAATTTTGATGAAATAACAAACTTGAAATACATTTAGGAAGTCGTGATTTTTTTCAGCTCAATCGGTTAAAAGGAACACCCGCAATAAATCATCCAAATTTACCTCGAAAATATGCAAAAATTTACGACTTGATTCCATTATCATCCCAAAATCGTTTCCCCTTCATGCTTTTATTCAACGTTTGAAACGGATAATAATCACTAAGGGTCAAGGCTGGACTGTACGGGGGGTGGTTTATGACGGTGAAGCGTTTTTCGTCTGCAGCAGCCCTCGAAACCAGCGAGGTATTTGTTGGCGCGTTGTCGTCTAAAAAAAGGCCAACTCTTTATTTTGACCTCACGTTTCTCTTCAACCGCAGCACGCAGCTCCGTCGGGGTTCCTGCATAGGCTGCCCAGTATTTCCAGCAAGAAATTATGTAAGAAGGGGACCTTTTGTATCATTGTAAATAGTCATAATCAATTTTTTGGCAGATTTTTACGCTTTTGCTTTCATGGGCGGTGGTAACCCCCCGTGCTCCCATTACATGAAGTATTGTTTAGTCTGCAGGTCATAATAGTAAACCCAAGTATCATATGCAACTACTAAAATATGAAGCAGGTTCCAGTTTTCATTTAATAGGTTAAAATTGGCATTGCAAAGGTCAACTCGATCTTGTTGTTGAGATGCCGAAAGCAATTTTGGTACCCAACGGGCGGAAGCCATTTTCATACCTAAGTCTTCAGTTAACGTGGAACAAATTGTTGGTTTTGGAACACCCATCTTATCTGCTAAATAGGACAGTTTCAATCGTGGATCTCTAATTATTGGTTCCTCTAGTTTCTGGAGCCTTTCTGTGGAAGAAACTGATTTTGGGCGTCCTGGCGACTTTTTGTCCGAGACCACTTTTCGCCATCATTTGAAGTTACTGACCCAATTTATATTGTGCTTTGTGTTGGGCAGTTTTCATCGTAAACTTTAAGCATGCGATCATAAATCTGCGACACCGATTGCCCTTCCAGCGTTAAAAGTTAAGTCACACTACGATATTTAATTTGCAAATCTGACATTTTTTCCGTCGAGGTAAAGTTTGCTGATTTATTGCTAGTGGTGATGTTAACCTAAAGAGCTGAAAAAAATCACAGCATCCTAAATGTATCTGAAGTTTGTTATTTCATCAAAATTTTGGTCAGAAACAATGCGGAACATACGTTTTGAAAATCAATAATAAAACACCTACGTACTAAATACTTACTTCGAAATGCCATGACAAAGTAATCGTCCAACAGTTGACTCCTGCTGAGGGGCGTGATCACGGATGCATTTGCATTTAGCTGCTCCCGAATTAAGGTTTCCAATGAGAGGGTGTAAATGACCCGGTAATATCCGGTGGCGTCCTGATTGATCATTATCCACTTGGAGGTGTCTACATCTGTAAAAGTGGCGGACGTGGTGGACGAGTTGATCCAAAGTTGGGGGACGTGATTCGGCAAAGTTGGAACATCTTGGGACACGACGGTGACAGGAAGGTACCACAACGTGTCGGATGGGTCGTCCGTGTGAACGTATCTCATCTAATGGAAAATAAATATATAAAATTATTTACGTATCTGTAATGTAGAATTCGATGACTTATCGTCAAACATTTTTAATATTTTCTCGGTTCTGGGAATTTATCCTAAAATTCTGGACGATAAATTGGTAGTCAACAATTTGATTAATAGAATGACGGTGATGTTTTTATAAGTAAGATAAACCAGTTGAGGTCCAATTTTTCTGAAGGCTACTTCGAGGAGAAGTAGCCTTCAGAAAAATCATCTTTCAAAAACTGTCAAAATTTGTGGCGTATATTTTTAAACAAACTGTAACCACATGTCTACAAATTCTTTGTCCATAATTTTAAATTAAATTCCTGGAGCCTAGGAATGATTAAAAATGTGCTGATTTTCGCACATGAGACTCGCATGCTTTGCAATATTTTTTAAAAAACATTATGCATAAGCAGTTAGTGGATACTGGGGTACAGATTATTTTTTTCTGGGTCGGCAATAAAATTTCTACAAAATTTAAATTTGTCACCCCAATGTAAGTGACAACTAAATTTTCATTTAGCTGAAAACAGATGAACTTTGACCTACCTGCGTGATTTGGATAGAATTTGGTCCTGTAGCCGAGACGTAAACGAGTGGATGCCCTCGTTGTAAGGTCCACGTGTCCAGAATTGATTTGACCGTTAAACCGACAGGAAGTCGGTTATCTTCTGCCGCTGCGATATCCAAGTTGCGAAATAGATCGTCCGAATGTGCTCCTTGATACTTCCTGGGGAAGAAATATAACAATTATTGGAAAATATCTATATTTCCCCACAAATTTTTCTTCTACCAAAATTTTGGAAGTTTAACTTAAAATTTTTGAAATTTCCAATCACTAAATTTATAAATACTTACATGTCTTGCAGATAATATTGCAGGCCTTTCTGGAAAGTTACTTCGGTCAGGAATTTCTCTGTCATGCGGTTAATAGATGCCCCCTTGTCGTACGTGATCGCCCCCACGTGCGCGTCCGGTGCCGTCGGATGTACATTGTTCTGCAAAGGGTGACTATTTGGCTGGGCATCGGCAACCATGGAGTTTTGTAGCTGGCCGATGGTACTCTCACGGGCACGGAATTCTGGACGGACCGCGTCAACGCCAAGGTTGGCGACATATGTGGCAAAGCCTTCGTTCAACCAGCTGTTGAAAATTGGAAATGATAAATTTGTAAAATTTTGCACAATGAGTGGTAGAATTAAATTTGAGAAAGAAACGGTACATTTGGGTCCACCAATTTAGAGAGACGAGGTTTCCAAAATTCTGATGTCCAAGTTCGTGGGAGAGGACGCTCTGGTAAATTTTGTGTAAAAAATGCTACATAAAAATTTGAAAAATTAATTCGTCAAAAATAGTTTTAACTTTTTACCGTGATGGAATTACGGTTCGACTCTAACGTTTCGCCATCGTAATACATTAGGAGGCCCTCGCTGAAAAAGAGAATATTTATTATAGTGCGGGTTTGAAGTTCATAATTTTTTTGTATCACTAAAATTTAAAGCCTTCAGATGCTGAAAAAGGTAAATTTTAAGATTTAAAACTTTTCCAGATTATTTCTAAATTAATGTTAAAAAATTTCAAATTTTCAGTCAGGTTTATGCGTAAAAGGTACAACTGAAAGTCAAGTTAAAATTTTAATGAAAGAAAAGTTTAAAACCTTCACAAAATTTAGGAGTTATGTAGGACCTAAAACCGATAAAATTGTAATGCATTTTGGGTTACGGATTTATTAGTTTTGTGGAAATGAAAATTTCCGAAAAACCTCGCAGGTAAATTAAGATTTAATTTTTCTCTCATTTATTTGCCAAACTAAATGCGTATTCACCAATATTTTACAAATTAAACTTACCTGTACAAATTAAGTCCATAATTTTCCATCGCACCCGCCCCGAACTGTGGTACTGCAGCAGAATCCATCTTTTCCAGTGGGTACGGGAATTGGAAATAGTCATCGAAAAATTGCAATAATTCTGCGGAAACTTGGGCCGAGTAGTTGCCGCCGCCTCGAGCGATGAGATACGGTGGGGCGTAGGCTCGGACCGGTTTTCCCCCAAAAGTGGGAGGATCTGCTTCCGCAAAGGTGAAGTCGGAAACGACCATGGCGAAAAGATAGGTCGACATGGGAACGGTCTTGTTATACTTGTCGATTATGAAACCAGGTCGGGTTTGGCTAAATAGTTACATGTAAATTAAGTGTAAATAATTATCTTCTTCGATAATTTTGGATATACTGTAGAAATTATGAAATTTCAATTAAGTAAATTATAAATAATCTACAAAATTATTGAGGGGCAATTTATGCAGTCATTGGTAAATGTAAAATTTATAAGTTTTGTTAAATAATTTTACAAAAGTTTACGAAATAAAAAGGCGCACTTGAGTTGAGTAAGTTTAACAAAAATTGCGAGAAAATTATTTAGTATGTATACACCCGAAATAGTTAAATATCTATTTTTTACTTACTCGGCAGTTGAAGATAGTAAATTCGCATTTGCCAATGATGAATAATTAAATTTCCGAATAATGCTGAGGTCAATGGTTGCTTTTAGTTCGGGTTCGTCGAAGCAGGGGAATAATTTCCTGGCGTGGATGGATTCCATTTGAGTCGCGGCGAGACGTCTAAATATGGTAAAAAATATTGATATATTTTGCCAGAAAAATTTTGATGGCAAAATTGTTGCAAAAATTACTTGGTCTCTCCGGAAACAGGGTCGACATAAGTGCTGAGGTAGAGCCCATTTAAAATGTTGGTCGAAATTGGGGCAACAAATTCGATGTAGAGCTGGTAAAGCTGACCAGGATTTAAGATCGTGTTGAGGCTGATGGAGTAAAACTGCACCACGCCCTCGGTCTCGTTGGAAGTTTGTGTTACTTCAATTACAAGATCGGGTTGGTCTGGTTTGGTGACCTGGAAGGATTTGGAAACTTTAAGTAATTTTAAAATTTGTTATATGAGTGAATTTTTTTCGAAAATCCAATTAGAATGAAGTATGGTTACAAATTTTCAGTAGTGGTTCAAGTCACAGAATTTGTGAAGTTTTAAAATTGCTACATAAATTTAGTAAAACTTTTTTATGCTGGAGAAACTTGTTCGCAAATTTATCTATTAAACGGATATATTTTTATTTTGCAACATTATTGCAATATTTACCAAGTATTTTCTAATTTAAATAAGCTACGATGCAAAGTAAAAAAAGTTGACGTGAAGACGCCTATTAGATAGATAATAATTTTATTAGCGACTAATTTAATTTTTAATCTGAGTAATTGTTTGTTAGTAATTTTGTTAAAATATTTAACCCACTCGCGATTATAATCTTTAATTATTGAGATTAGGACAAAAACTTCACAGCCAAAATTTTGTTTTGAATTATGCAGCTCTTCGGTAATTTTTAAGTAGTAAAATTAATTAAATATTTATTTCTCCAATACTTAACCTATATAAATTAGCATATCTGCGACACTCTAATTTTCCTACATACTCACCTGAATTGAGGACTCATTAATCACGGGGAGATAAGAGTGAAGTGTTATCAGTCCGGTGGCAATGGTGGGTGTAATGTCGATCCGGACTTTACCAGGGGCTGTAAACTGGGCCCCGTAGGCGGGGTCATTATCCAGCAAGACGAGGAGTTCCAACTCGTAATTAGACGGAATTATGGTGCCATTTAATCTGTACAGGGGAGAAATCTCGTCCCCCTGGGGAACTACACTCTGACTTGGAAAATTGAGTGGGGTACCGTCATTTGGGTGAGGTGGATCCAACTGGAGGGGGACCTGAGCGCTGACCAGGGCGATGAAAAATGGCAAAATTGGCAAGACTTTTGCAAATGATGCCATCATTGTTTTTTTGAGGGAGGGGGGGGGGAATAAAATGCGACAGATTATGAAAAAAAGTAGTATTTTGTTAATTCCTTCAGCTCCTGACCACTAACTGGACACGATTGGATACAATGTAATGCTTTTATGGACATAATTTGCATGCAATTGGGTTGATTGATAAGTAAATAAGTAGATCAATCAAGATAATTAAGCAAAGCAGGTACATAATCAATTTTGTGGTTATCAAACAAACGAAGAATTGAATCGGAATGATGGCAAATTGGCATGCGTTAAGAGTATGGATAAGCGTACAAATTGCATACATACATATGTAGTCTGGTCAGGATTATAATTGATGTGTGCCAAGTCCAGTCAGATAACTAAGGCAACGACAAGATTACAAACATTTTCGAAAACGGGATTCATTTACATACAATTGTTTAAATAATGATTGTGATTCTTAAGAAATGATAATACATGTCGAAAAACAATGACAGAAAGGATGACAGATGTATGAAAATTGGCAAAATATCGCGTGATTGTTACTTCAATTGTTTAATTAATTACTCTTAAATTTTAGTTACAAGTAATTAATCCGAAATCCGAATTTATTTATTTATTGAAGTACGATACATATTTCAACCAGACCATGCACCTCCAAGTAGTCACCCCACATGCATATTTCACGCGCATGTAAATGTTTGTATCTGCATTTGATTCATGTAAGATTTCTTAACTGGCATATAAACAGCAACATAAATTCAGCGATGACAAAGTGAATGTCACGACCCCATAAATTTTACACATTGTGAAATTATAGTCTTTTAAACTTCATCCACATCCCCCATAGTTTTTGCATCGTTAAAGAAATGAAAGTATTTTTATGTGCGAGATAAAAATAATATGCATGCAGCATTAAGAAAATGCAGTGGACCGAAAGTTACCTAGAATCAAAGACCTAGAATCAGGTCGTTAAAGTTTTTGAAATCATTTTTATATTCGGTGCAGTCATACTTAAAAACAAAATATTTAAATGACGAATACAGGCATATACATATATGTACATATTTAATTTTCAAATAAATAATTAAGCTACACATTTCTCAGTTAATCGTCCCCATTAGGATGCGCTCATACATCTTTTTCACCGCGAGGGGTTGTACACCGTACTTTGTGGCTGCAAGTGTAAAAGAATTTGAGGCCCTAAAATACACATATATATACGATGTCACATCTTATCGTCTTACCGTACGTTATCCGAAATGGGGACGTGTACCCGTACAGATCGAAACAACCAATTATGTTTAGCGTGGTTCCCGTCAAGTCAGGGAAAGCTTGGGGAAATATGATGACGATGTCATTCGCGTCCGCCGCCTCCAAATAACCCGTTTCCGCAATGTAGTTCGGAACGACTTTCAAAATTCTGATGAGGTAAATAAACAAAAATTAAAAATGATGGTATAATTTTTCTTAGTAAATAAATATTCATAAGTTCATTCATTACGAGTTAGCATCGCTAGCAAAAAAACGAAGTTCACAAGTTCGCAAAAAAATGGCTTAAAAATTCATTACTCGTAGGCAAGTATTGAGTTCGCATTTTTTAAAATTTAAATTATGTGTGTTCCAATGTGAACCCGCTAACTCTTTGTGATATTCCCCCATCAATGGTTAAGTAGTTTAGTCATTTTGCCAAGTTCATATTCATTAGCCATTTTTCTCAATTAGATTTTGCAAATTCCTTACATGTGAATAATGTTCTGTCCACAGCCATGAAACGCAAAGTGTAATTTGCACACAATTCCGCTCTCGGGTCTGCATCTGTACGGGATGTAGGCGTAGCCGAACTCTTTCCACCCGTGAAAAGTTGCATTTTTCGTGTCGAAGAATTCATTCTGGTCAAACTTGAATAAAGTTCCGCTCGTCTCTTGACCAATTTCGAGCCTTGGATTGACCCACGTTTCTGGATAGAGGGTAGAAAACATGTCCTCAACGCCGGAATAGCCACACCCACAAACAGCGACGACACTGATAGAGCAGATTCTGTGATCATTGACGGACGAGGTGGGCTAAGAAACAAGTGAACAAGTGTCAATTAGTAATTAGTGTGTAAAAGTTTAGTTGTATTTTTATGTAAAGTGCATATTTATGTATGTATGCGGAATAAACTACTTATGAATAAGTTTACGAGGTTACGGACTTGCGAAAGTTCACGTGAATTGCATCCATGAAACTTTGCAAAATTTGTATATTTATAGTACAAAAATATTAAATACTAAATATATATATATATATTTTTTAGAAATATCACAAGTATTTACATACAAGTACATATTTACCTATTACGTAGTAGTTTCTAAGATTATGAAGGAAAATGACTTATGTATGTATGCAAATAGCAAGTATGCACATACACACGCAGATCACAGATGAAGAGTACTTGTCTCTATAGTTTGCAAAATTTGTGAAAGAACGTTCGAGTGATTTCTTCCCTTGGGTTGATTTACAAGAGATATATTGGTTAGTCATAGTTTTTATAAACTTTGTAATCGATCTTAAGTCTCCGGATTTCAGGGAGATTTTTACTGGATTGCAATCATCCGAGTGAAATGTGCATATCTACATCCATAAATCGTCAAAATCGCATTAGCATACTTACGTAACAATGGGTCGACGGTATTTTTGCTACCATGTCCTTTAGGTGACGAACACCGTAATGTCGAAAAAGACCAACGTTGAATCTTGATAAGACTAGAATTTAGCAATAAACTGAACTTAATTTGTCTAACAAAAAAACATTAATATTTGAGGCCGTGAATATATAAAGCAAGAGGAGTATTTTTAGTCAGTCTCATCTTCTTAGATCAATTATGCCCTGACGGACTTGAGATGACCTAATGAACTCCTACCAGTGGCCGAGGAAGCGTGGGGACAGATGGACAGTGTTCCCACGGGTATTCGATGTCCCCATCATCTCCCCATGTTATTTATATGAACCCCTCCCTCCCCTCGCCTACAATGTTACTGTTCAGCTAAATAATATTAATAGTCTCAATTCCTTGGAAAATTTTTTGAGAGGTTATTTGGTTTTTTGGAAGATTATGAAATAATGTGCCAGGAAACCTTTTAGATTTTTTTAGACTGTTAATATTGGCAGAACAGTACTTTTCCCACAGATTCCGTGGCCACTTCCCAATATTTTGTTCACGACTCCATGTTTTATAATCTTGTTACTCACAAGCTGGAACGATATGGTCGATTGCTCCGTGATAGACGTAGGCTCTAAAATTTTTCAAATTTCGCGGGTCATCAATGAAACCGCGCGATGCTAAATAATTAATCCAGACCGTGTGGTGCGTAAAGTTAAAAAATTGAGCGGGACTTTCAACCAATATAATTCCCACAGGATAAGGACCTATATCGAAAATGATATAAAACTTGAATTTACAAATTTCCCTAATTTTAGCAACACAAAATTTATATGAATTCTCAACTCACCCCCTGCAAATACACCGGCGCCCTTTACGAACGATGAATAAATGAAGGACAGCATCATGGAGAATGAACCGCCGCCCGATAACCCGGAAACTGTGATGCCTGGTTCGATATTAAGCCGACCTGATGCAAAAAATTAAAAAAAAATTATTAGCACAAAAATAATTATGCAAATTTTATACTACAAATATAAATATATTTACGAAAATATTAATTACTCACTCAATTTTTTATAATTTTTACCCCTCCCCCTGTCGGAAAGGAAGAGGAGTAAAATTAAGACAAATAAGGAACGATAACTAAAGCTGGAATTAATTAAGGGTAACATTTTTGTAAAATTTTGAGCACTTGTTTTTTACAAAATTTTTACAAACATGGGAAAGTTTCCACACTGAATTTTAATTCTGACAAAAAAAAATAATTTTAGCAACACGACTCATTTTTTAACACTGAATGAAGAAATCTCATTACAATGTGCCAACATGTATTTTTTAAGTCGTCTGAAGAAAAGTGGAGCACTGCAAGCATAAAAAATTTAATTGATACTTATTACTAGGAAATTGCCGTAATTTAGGAAAAGAAGATTTGACCCATGTAAAAATTTTAGGATGGACTGAACACGCAGAGCGGAGCGGATGCAATGAAAGTGTGAGGTTTAAATAATTTCATAATGATTATTATCGTCAACTGGCAAGGTGGTAGGTAAAGGAAGTTCATTTCATACCCTGTCGCATAGAGATTTGCATATGTGATATGTACTTAGGTTCGACTCAGATTTTTAATTTTCTTGAAATGTCTCTAACGCATCTAACTTTTTTCTTAGGTGAGGCAAAAGTAACAATGGGTGCCCGTAAAAAAAGCGTCACCATGGTTACGGCGAAGCCTAAGTATGCTTTCGTATACACCCTTTGAAACTGTTGACAAGGCTAGAGCCTAAACGGTTAATCCTACGCAAATGGTGTAAAGAGCAATCGTGCAGAGGAGATTGAGGAGATGCGGTTTTACAGCTTTCCCGACGGAAAAGTTGCATTTTGAGCCCCCAAATTTCAATTTGAAACTTTACAATCAAAATTTGAGACACTTGTGTCAAAGGAATATATGCATAGAACCTGATTTTATTGTAAAAATCGGTTATGCATCATTTAAAACAAATCCGATTGAGATCGGTTCAAAACTGAAAGAGTTTTGATGGAGGCATCTGAAACCATTCATGTTGCTAAGCATTCTTCATCAAAATTGCAATGTAGCTGGTTGCTAGTAGAAGCCAATATCGCAATTTACTAAAATAATAGTAGTTGTCTTTAAGAAATTTCTGGTATAAAACATTTAGACACGCACTTGCGGGTCAGAGTTAGGAAATATGGGATTTTTGATTATTAATCTGGACTAGGGATAATTGTAAATTCTACTGAAAATTTTAAATTTAATAATTAGATTACTTTGTCAAATTTACGTTTTATTGCTATATACGCCACCAGGCGTATTTGCATTTTATATTTGAATGTCCTACACATACTTTGGTTTGATATTAGAAATTCAGATTGATTTGTAGTTTTTATTGCATGAATAACTAGTGAGCATCTTATGTCAATTGATAATCTAAAAAATGTTCTCCTGAGCAAAACATTGAAGTTACATACATACAAATATTTAAGAGCAAACTAAAAAATTTAATTCTAACATAATTAAACCTCACACAGATAAATAATGTGGTACAATTTCTTAATAAGCTCTTCCGCATTGGGATCGTCCTTCCCCACTTTTTGCAAAATGATATGAGCAAACTCCTTCGCCAAGATCGCAGTGTCCTTAAAATTCTCGTTGTGCTTGACAATATTTGCCATTTCGAGATAGCCTATCTTGATCTGGTACTTGAACGTGTCCGGATTATTATACTGGACCACGAGAGAGGCGAAATCCCGTAAAAAGTTGGTGGAACTTGCCCTGAAGGAGGCGGGAAGCGCTGTGCTGAGTACTTTCAGACATGTGATGGCTTTCTCGACATGGTTTAGCGTGTAGAAGATCATTTCGTTGAGACATTTCGTTGCCGCGGTGACATTTTGGGGATTCAAGAGGGCCGCGTGGCTCTCGCAGTATTTAGTCACGAGGTCCGTTGGCCAGTAAAGACGCGGAATGGGGAGCAAGACGTCCTCAGCGATGTCTCGGATAACCCGACAGAATTGGGTAAGTCGTGCCAAATCGTAGTCGTACCCGACAGCAGCAAGTCGTTCGAAGATTTCGTCCCGATCCATGGTTCCAGACTCGATGAGACATTCGATGTAAAGGTGTTCAAACAGGCCGGCTACGGCCCAGCTGTACGCTTCAAGGTCGGCGAAGGTCGCGACCTTTTCGGGTGTCGGGAGGGCCAGGAATCTCCCCGCTAAGGAGGCAAAGTTGGACATTGTGGTTCGAATGAGGGAACGATAAGCGGCGGAAAGCGTGCTAAAAGCCGCTTGTAACTTGGTGGTGTTTTTCATAAGATATTTTTCTGCGGGATTCATACCGTCTGAAAATTAATGATGGAAGTTAAAGTTTTCTTTGACTAATTTTTGCTATTTTTGTAGGTTATTAGTTTGGAAATATTATTAAATTGAATATTGGGGGTATTCATTACGAGTTCGTATCCCGACAAAAAATGCTGGCCTTGGATATGTGCAAGTTGCAAAAACCATAATTGTTTTGCTAACATTGCTAACGATGCGAACCGTTATGAATCCAGAATCAAGATATAACTGTGATGCGAACTCGCAATGAATACCCCTATTAATTGAATATGAATGATATTTTGCAGGATCTTCGATTTCGAAATACTTATCTACAAACTTACATTCCACATCGCTCGTGAAACCCCCCAGTTCGTTATCTCTCAATAGTAGGGGATATTTTTCTGTGAGATCTTCAAACCTTTTACTTTCCGGAATGTTGTAGTCATCCTCTAAAAATAGTATTTTAGGGATTAGTTCCTACAAAAATTTAACCACATGCCGAAAACCTGTTAAATACTTATGTACACGTGCTTACAAATAATCACATGTTTAGAAATCTAGTAGATATAATCGCGCAGGTCTTGATTTCTCGGTATTAAAGTTGCTCTTGGTATTAAGATTATACCGGTTCGTAAAAATTTTCTACCGATATGGTAAAACCTTAATACCGAGCAATTACTAAACAATATTACTTCAAAATACCACTTTGATTGAGTCAGACATAAATAAATACTGTTTGGTATATTAATTTAACGCTGGATTTCTAAGAGCGTATGTATTTGCTACCGATCGTGTCCGCCGTCCTCGCCCAGAGGTAGCACACAACAAAGACATCCTTCAGATTCTCGGGGAGTTGGGCGATAATGTAGGAATACGGTTTACTCTGCATGACGAGGGTTTCATAGCACCACTCCATGGCGGGATTTTGATCCAGCCCGGGCCTCTTGTACCTCTTGAAGAAGAATTTGACCAGGGTGACGAAGGAGAGGAGGCGGAATGGCATGAAGGCAAAGTTGTGAATTGACACCTCCTTCACCCCAACTTTTGGGGCCATCTGAAAGTTATTGGAAAATGTCAAGACATATTTTGCAAATGGGCGAAAATCCTCACTTTTGCAAGTGAAATAGCCGGCAATTTTTTTCAAAAATTCTACAAAATAAAAAAACTCTCTGTAGTACAGCTTCTCTTCCGTTGCGGTTTTCTTATGTAAATATTTCACACAAAATTCATGCACTAAAACGTCAACTTTTTTTATCAGAGAAACGATAATAAAGTATGAATAAATATTTACTTAGCATAGCTGAAACAGTGATGGGGTACTAAATCCTACTAAATACATATGTATGAAGATGTAGGTACATACGTACATAAATATGTATGTATATAATTAAGAAAAACCATCAATGTTTCTCTGCTGCGTAAATGAAAATTTCTTGAAAAAAATATTTTGGACTAATTACTGTTTTTAGCTTCTTAGGAAATCTTTCTTACTTTTCACTTCTTAGGAAATCTTCTTCAATGTGTACATAGAATCTATGAAAGATAGAACAGTCAAACAAAATTGGTAAATTTCTCACCTTCGCTCTTCCTTAGTAAAGATTTTAATAAAGAGCAACGCTTATTTCTTTAGTCAGGTAATTGAAAACGTCACGATCCCATTCTCACTAACTTTGAGTTATTACTAAACGGATTGTATGGTTTAGTAGTAAAAAGTAGAAATGGAACAATTCGTCTTATGGTTTAATTACAATGCAAGCACTGGATTGTTATTGAAGCTTTGTAATTAAGGTTAGTTTATTTTTCTGTTGTCATGGCAACGAGCCGGTTTTGTATACAATCCAGCTTTACGTAGGTATGTATGTATGTACCTATGTACATTATACGTAAATAAATTGAGATACAGCTTACAGTGATACATACATATCTGAGATGCATGAGAAAATCTCTTCATGACATCCTGTCCCTCTTGGTTGTTTTGACAAAGCTGTGGATATTGCAGAATTTGTTTAGTATCCCTTTAAAAAATTTCAATGTCGGAAGAGTTTTTTTTACATTTTTGATAATTCGGTTTATGGCTCTGCTTGGGCAATTAGTAAATACGTTGGCACAAAAATGTTAGCCAACTGTGCAATAAATTATGAAAGAAACTAGGCAGTCCACGTGTATAATGGAAATCCCTTATTTGAATTTATGTATATATTTATTTATCTAACAATGGAGGTCTCCCAACGTGTGCTCACAGATTTGGAAGAAATTAGTATCAATCGATCACAAATATAATTAGTATGAAATTTTCAAATAGAACTATCTGGCAATGCGCAGGTTTGGCGGAGATATTTGCATAAAAAGCGGAGAAAACGCACCAAAAGGCAGGCATATTTTTCATTATCCAAATTTCCTGCGCATTTTTCCCGCTTTGGATGGAAATATCTCCGCCAAACCTGCGTATTGGCAGATAGTTCCATTTGCAAATTTCATACTAATTATATTCGTGATCGATTGACACCAGTTTGGTCCAAATCTGTGAGCATACGTTGGGAGACCTCCATTGTAAGATAGAAATAGATATGAATCCTATACATATGTAGGACTTTATTCTCAAGGCGCTGTTAATTCCTTTAGTTGATAACCTCAAACTTGTTTACCAAGAACTAATTATGCACGTGTCGTTCTGCTCGTTCTCATGATATTTAGAAATCATATTTATACTTTGTGTTTAGCTACATACGTTGTGTCAACTTTCAAGAATTCTAGTTGAATAGACACGACCACGACGGTTATATAAGCCCTCAATCACTCGGGATAAAACAGTATCGCTGTCTAGGCATATCCATCCAATTAAGTTTGATGGGAATTTTGTCGAGGTGAAGTAAAAAAAAGGTAAATAGACATCCTTTACAGTTGAAAATCAAGTGTGGCAGTGCAAAAACAAACCGGTCGTGATGAAGAACTAATATTTTGCAGGAGACGCAACCACAGTTTTTAGGATAAGTGTACATATGTGCATATGTACATTGTAAGGTTTACCAGAAAAAGAGACAGTTTCGACTTGCCCTTTCAAGTAATTCCAGTCGCAGTTAGATTTTCTGATAATTTCTGATTACGCATATGTGTAGGTATATTACGTTATTTGTTTCAAACGGGTGTACGTGAATATATGTATGTACATATTTATATATGACGATTTCACAATTCGGCTGTGCACCCGCTTAAAATCACACGTAATACACTCTGTCATCTCTAGTATACACATCCGTATGCTCAAAAATTCCTGTATAATTTGATAACAATTAATCTCAGAGGTTCCAATGCGTGACGAGAGACAGCCAGGGTTTTCACGCAAGCTTTCCTAGGGAAGCGCATACAAATTTTGAAATTATATTTTTACCTCCAAAATTATCACAACAAAGTTTCCAATTGAAGCTTTCCATTGCTTTGTATGTGAATACATAGAAAAAATAGTATTCCAATTTTACACACAAGACATTCCAGCTCCAAATATGGTTCTTTCTATCTAATCTGTATGAGCATGCAGTTCTCAAAATTTTGAAATGGTATTATCGCTCGCAGTCATGCTTCTGAAATCTGCAGGATGCTGTAAATAGGCGAAACCGTTTGACTATAATCCTCCTGTAAATTGGTTTGTCAGTCTAATTATTCACAAAACTTAATTTAAATTGTGCACATTTTTTTGCATAGGTTCGTAAACAATGGAGACAGTCAAGCAAAAAAGTTGCAAATCTTGGATCACAAAACCTCGCGAGATACTCGCTCTCCGGACACTGATTAAGCTGAAATATGCTCGAGATCCTGGGCAGGAGAAGGATCAGTGGTGTTACGACATGTTGCTCAATTTTGGCGAGGCGTTCGGCATGATGTGCAAGTTACTTCCGAGTGAGATGCAACATTTCCTAGCTGCTCTATACCTCGCCTTACGTGTCATTGATACGATTGGTTTGTGACTACAATTTTGATCAAAATTGTGGACTTATCTATTGTTAATTTTTCTTGAAATAATTTGTAGAGGACGATGTGGGAAAGAGTTGTGAGTGCAGGATTAAAGATCTCGAAGGGGTACATAACTTCTTAAAGGACGCCAACTACCAGACGTCCTGCCAATGTAAGAACTTTTTAGTGCACCACTAACTAAGTATACTATCTAGTACACACTCTAAGAAACCCGGTAACTAAATAAGTTATTACCAGGCGGAGTATCTATGTAACTCTTCCGCATGGTAATTAATTTATTATTGAGTGGTAGACATTTTGTTACCAAACCGGTAATAACTTCGGTCGCGAGATTTGAAAATATGGTAACTAATTTTCTACCACTCAATAATTAGATGCGGTAGAGTCACATACATACTCTGCCTGGTAATAACTTAGTTCCCGTTTTTCTTAGAGTGCACATGTATCAATGTATGTATGCAAGAAATTATTAAATCAACACTCTTGAAAATCCAGCATTAAAATTATTCCAAGTGGTATGTATGTATATACCAGCTTTACATGAGAAATCAATACCTGCGTGACTATTTCAGATTTCTAATATTGAAGGATTTAGTTATTACTTAAATAGATATTAATTTTCAAGGTTTTTTTTGTATTATTGAGCATTTATTTGTGTTTATTTGAACGTGGGACTAGTGGCCTGTCCAGGTTGTAATTGACAAATTTTACATACTTATTTTTCCAGATGGGCTCAACCCCAAGGAAATTACCCTGATGCAAAACCTTCCAAAAGTTCGCACCTTTTACCTCCAGCTCTCCCCCGTCCTTCAAACCCTTGTCGACTCCGCGGTGCAGGAAATGGCACGAGGGATGATAAAGTTCCTCGCAAAACCGCAAGATCAACCGCTTTGCGATACCTTTGTCGACCTGGAAGAATACTGCTACATCGTGGCGGGGATTGCTCAAAAAGCGATATTTTCATTCCTGACAGAGGAAGGGTTTGAACTTGAAGAAAACGTGTCACGCCTAATTCCAGGAGAACCGGGTTGGCTGACGGGGTCAATTTCGTACTCAATTTTCAACCAGGAAGCCAACATTATTCGCGACATTGCTGACGACACGATGGCGGCGAAAAGTTCGAGACTTTACTGGCCAAAGGAGCTTGTCGAAAAATACGTCGCCCAGCAGAGTGACCTCGTCATCCCGGCGAATCGAAAAGTTGCGATTTCCTGTTTAAACGAGCTCATAGCGCACACGCTGACCCACGTGGTCCCGATGTTGGAGTGGCTGGATAATCTAAAATGCAAGAAAGCCAAGGAAACCATGTGCGTCTTCTTTTTAAAGAATTTGGCCACGCTGGCGATTCTTTACGGGAATGGGAAAACTTTTAAGTACGTGTTGAAACCGAGCGTACCTACGTTGGCGTATCTGCTCGAAATTAGTACCGATTTTGGGAAGATTTTACAGGCTACGAAGAAATATTGTGGTGTGATTTGTAGGAAGGTGGGGCCACGAGATGTGCATAAGGGTCTCGTGCTGAGGGAGGTTTATGCAATAATGGCCAAGTGTGATTATCTTTTGTTAAAGTGTTAGAAACTTCAAGAATCATGGTAAATCGTGTTCAGTTTGTTAAATTGTTAGAAAATTAAGGAATTGTGGTAAATCGTGTTCAGTTTATTAAATCACATAAGTTATGTATGTACTAATTATGTAATACATACATGTTTGGAGTCAAAATGTAACAAAACAATATGTACATATTTATAATACGTTAATCAGCACATTAATTATGACAATCGCCACATATTTATTTGTGAATTATTCAGGGGACATGGTGTTTAGGTATACAGAAATGATTTACAATATGGGAACTTTTATTAAGGATGCATTCACAATGACTACAATTAATGATTCCAAAGTGCAAATGTTGCGTAAATGGTGCATAAATATATATAAACTGCATGGATTATACAGTGATGTTCCACATCGAATTTGTACCATGTTTTGAGTACATGTCCATTTTTGCAATTTTGGTGAATTATTTTTCTTGAAATGTGATCCTCCCTGAGCCTGTAAGTATGTCAACGGGTTCCGACACCCTACTGGTGTCAAATGCGTATGAAATAAATGAAAACGTTTTCAAAAAACCTTAAATTATTTGCTTAAATTCTTTAAATGGTTTTCAGGGAAAAGATGCGAAGTGCAGATTAATATTAGGAAGGAAAGCCAAATCATAATTGAAATTAAATATCCCACGGCGATATCTTCTTGAGAGGAAGGCTTTCCTGTTGTGTCATAACTTATGACTCATAAGACAGAAATTAAGCACCCTTTAAGACGACTCACTCTATATATTCCATGACCCAACATTATGCATTTTGTACATCAATAATAATTTTAGATAGTTTGGAGGAAGAGGTTTATAGAATCATTGCTTGTAAAACAGTATTTGAACAACTTAACAGTGAAAAATTCTCTCATTGGATAAATTTTATCCAATTGTTGGACCCTTGGAAGAAGATACTATATAAACTGGAAGGTGGAGTTTACGTGAGAGACTGGGTATCATTACGTTACTCACGTGACGTGAACAACAGCGCCCAAATCGTCGAAATCTTTTTTTCTCAACCACAGGCCGCTGGGCTCGCTCACCAGGCAGCAGCTCCAGCAAAGTTCAGTTTTCCGCGATTACATTAGCCGAATGAGCCGAATTATCCTATTATTTAACATTGGTTTCTTTTATTTTGGCGTTCAAGTTATTCAATTTGTGTCAGAATTTGAGTAATTTTATTTTGGCGTTCAAATTATTCAATTACTCAAATTCTGACACAAATTAAATAACTTGAACGCCAAAATAAAAGAAACTACTTTGAAGTAATAGGATAATTCGACTCATTCGGCTAATGTAATCACGGAAAACTGAACTTTGCTGGAGCTGCTGCCTGGTGAGCGAGCCCAGTGGCCGGTGGTTGAGAAAAAAAGATTTCGACGATTTGGGCGCTGTGGCTGATTCACATGCGATTTATTTTGTTTTACATTTGAGCAAGGAGCCACTACGGTTGGTTGGACCATTCTCTGTTTTACTCAACCAAAGCTCACGCAAATCTTACACAACTTTATTTATGTAGAATGTGTTAAAACCTTGCAGGTTATAGGTTGATTTGCATAAAGTTATTTTGTATAAGGGTCATATTGTCTAATCTTTATTGAATAAACACTTTTTCACATAACAGTACTTTTTACATAATTGGATATCGCATAATTTTAGGATTGAGTATACTCGTGCAGGCAATAGCCAATTAATTGGTAAGTCTAGGATTTCAAGTGTATTTTTGGGTTATTAATACATAAAAATGTGACTTCATAAGTTTACATATACCCTTATACCCTTATATGTAGAAACTTATGAAGTGAACTTGTACCATCTGACCATTTCAGGGCCAGGCATTCATCAATCCTAACATTTTGCTCATTTCAGTGGTTATTATTTTTCCGGTTATAATTTTTCTTCAGCTTCTAATACAGATTTTGTGGAATACTTAGCTTGGTTCCCCTTACGAACTATTTTTGGTGAAGAAGATCATTCAATTTCTTAGAAGCCAGTTCCTTATTTGAAATTTAGTTTGTTTATTGGAACACTGCGTGTGGAGCGAGAGAACTAAGGCACCAAAAATGCTGGACAGAACCAAAGTTTGTACAAATCGAACGAAAATTAAGATTATGCAAATTCTAGTTATGCGAAATTGTTATTTTGCATAATTTGAAATTAGGCAAATTCCCATTATGGGATATGGGTATTATGCAAAATAAATTATGCAAATCAACCGGAGGCCAACCTTGCATTTGCAAATTTTGAAGTAAATGTGTGATCGTTCGACACTAATTTGATCAAAATCGGAGGGTAAATAAGTAGGTTGAGAAACCTCCATTGCCCGTTTAATTTGCATGTTCCAATGATTTTCTCATTTTTTGCAGCAAAATTAAATTGAGCGGAATAAATGAGGAATTAATTAGTATAATTGCTGAACCATGTACATATGTACCTACACATCCTACATACATAAGTACATATGTACATATGTATGTATGCACATTTTTGGGAAGAGAATAACTTGGTAGCCACGTCCAAGTTTAATAATTTAGGTAGTTAGGGGTATACCTAAATCCAATTAAGGGATTGCATTAATTACAAATTTTCAGTGTTTGATGTGTTTGATTGAACAGTGGTAGAAATCTGGTAAGTCACACAGGTATTTACACTCGGTATTAAAGCTGCTCCCTGGTATGTAAAAGTTTGGTCCTGAAATGGTGAAACTTTAATACCGAGCTATTACTGCACGGTATTACTTCTAAACACCACTTTGGTAGAGTCATAATATGATTGTCATATATGAATACCGCTTAGTACTGGATTTCTAAAAGTGTATGTGTGCCAAACCAGGGGGTACTACGTATATTTCGACGCTAAATACTACCTTTTATCGGGCAGTGTTGATTGACACGTCGAATCGATTACAAATAGTATGCAGTCTTACTAAGGAATTAAATCTGTCGATATGTCCTATTTCATGTGCCAATTCATGGTTTAATTGGTTAATAATTACCTACATTATTATAATTAATTAAGCGTTAAATAATATAAAAATGGCCCTAGCCATACGAAACGGAACGAAAGGATATACAGAAGGGAAATTTGTGCTTAATAATCTCAACATGAGTGTTGCTCGGGGAGAGATGTAAGTTTTGCGAAGACTTAAGTAATTCTAGTTTGCATGGAATTTCAAAATACGTCATATTTTTTTAAAATCATAATTTTATTTTAATTGTGGATGTCTTCTTTATTTTTTCAGTTATGGTCTCCTTGGAGCAAGTGGTTGCGGGTGAGAGGAAATTTTGTGCTTAAAAAACTACCTACCTTATAAACACAAACAATTTGCAAAAAAAAAATTAGCCAAGATTGAACGTTTCAATCTCATTTAAAATTTCAGGAAGACGACCCTGCTGTCCTGTGTCGTCGGCCTGCGTAGGCTCGATAGTGGTGGCATCTTCGTGTTTGGTCACCAAAGGAAAGGTCACCTGGGTCACTTGTGTGGCTACATGCCTCAGGTAATTCATAAAACAACCTTACTTTTAAGAATGTCATCAACTTTTGTAAATATGTATGTATGTAAATACATACGTACGTGATCAACTTCATAATTAATTACCGAATATATTCAAATTTGTGTGACATTTTACCCCTCAGGAAATTTCCCTCTTACGTATTTATACCATTCACGAGGTACTCCACCATTTCGGGATGATTTACGGCATGTCGCACGAAGCTATTGAAACGGAGATCAAATTTCTCGCCACATTTCTCGACCTACCCCCCACCACGAGGCGCATTGAACACTTAAGGTGAGTACTTAATTAGCTAAATAGCCGTGCATGACGCATGCACTCTTAGAAATCCATACTTTATATGACGTAAAATATAACTCGATATAACTTCCAAAGTGCCACTACCCCACTTATGGCGAATCGCTCTCTCTCGGCCACAAAGTAAGCCATTTTACCCTGTAACAATATTCACAGGGTAACTAAGCGCAACGACCGTAACCCTAAATCACGTTGATTATGACTTTACTTTCTTGCTTTGATGACCCCAGGAAAAGTTACTTAAGCGTAGTCGCAGTATTTAGTACTTTAATAATATATTTTATTTCACATTCAATATTGCATTACAAATTACCCTTATTATGAACCACTACACTCTTAGAAAATTCAATATCTTTTCATGAAGTAAAATGGAACGTTATGCGGTTTAAAGTAAACCTCACTTGATTCGAAGTAAAATGGTCAACTTCATTCAAAGTAATGACAAAACTCACCAAATGTGAAGTAAAACCACTATTTTCTAAACCATAAAGTAAGCTATTATACCATTTAGAGTAAGCAAACCCCATTTAGGATATTCTTCAGACGCTGACTTTTCCCTCGCTCTCATTACAACTCGCAGCTCAGCCAGTCAGTGCTGGTTAGTTAAATTGATAGTTAATTAATTAGTTAGTTAACTCATAAGCAAATAATGGAGGAAACGAGGAGGTTATTGCAACAATTTGGACGGGGACGCTGAAGGGTAAGAAATTCGCACAATTTGCATAATTTATACACAAATTTAATTTACATTGCGTTTAATTTTTTATTTTAATTGTCTTTAAACAGATGACGATATTACGGACGAGACTCTGTTAATAATTTCAGGAGCAAATTGTCAGGTTTTCTAGGTCATTTTAGGTCGGCTTTGGAATGCATTGTACAATTTGTGAGAACTTGGTATATCTTTGTTTTAAGTGCAAAACTAATTTTAAACCTTTAGTATAACATTAAAAAAATTATCTTAAGTTAATAGGGTCCAGCGTTTACAAATATCCTCACTAGTGGTTCATAATAAGGGTAATTTGTAATGCAATGTTGAATGTGAAATAAAATATATTATTAAAGTACTAATACTGCGACTACGCTTAAGTAACTTTTCCTGGGTCATCAAAGCAAGAAAGTAAAGTCATAATCAACGCGATTTAGGGTTACGGTCGTTACCCTATTGGGCGCTCAGTTACCCTGTGAATATTGTTACAGGGTAAAATGGCTTACTTTGTGGCCGAGAGAGAGCGATTCGCTATAAGTGGGGTAGTGGTACTTTGGAAGTTATATCGAGTTATATTTTACGTCATATAAAGTATGGATTTCTAAGAGTGTAGTGAGGATATTTGTAAACGCTGGACCCTGTTAACTTAAGATATTTTTTTAATGATATACTAAAGTTTTAAAATTAGTTTTAGTACTTGAAACAAAGATATACCAGCTAAGTTCTCACAAATTGTACAATGCATTCCAAAGGCGACCTAAAATGACCTAGAAAACCTGACAATTTTCTCCTGAAATTATGAACAGAGTCTCGTCCGTAATATCATCATCTGTTTAAAGACAATTAAAATAAAAATTAAACGCAATGTAAATTAAATTTGTGTATAAATTATGCAAATTGTGCGAATTTCTTACCCTTCAGCGTCCCCGTCCAAATTGTTGCAATAACCTCCTCGTTTCCTCCATTATTTGCTTATGAGTTAACTATGTAACTAATTAAGTAATTATCAATTTGACTAACCAGCACTGACTGGCTGAGCTGCGAGTTGTAATGAGAGCGAGGGAAAAGTCAGCGCCTTGTTTGACTAAGAATATGCTAAATGGGGTTTGCTTACTCTAAATGGTATAATAGCTTACTTTGTGGTTTAGAAAATAGTGGTTTTACTTCACATTTGGTGACTTTTGTCATTACTCTAAATGAAGTTGACCATTTTACTTCGAATCAAGTGAGGTTTACTTTAAAGCGCATAACGTTCCATTTTACTTCATGAAAAGATATTGCATTTTCTAAGAGTGTGTGATAAATTTTCCTCCAGTTTTGCCGTATTTTTAAAAATCTATACGAGTTTATCTTTGTTTCTTGCAAATATTTCTAGTGGGGGTCAAAAGCGGAGGGTGTCCTTGGCCGTGGTCATGATCCACAATCCTGCCCTGCTCATACTTGACGGTATAATTTGAGCCAACTTAAATATGTATAATTATTATAATTATTTATGTATAATTGACATTAAGATGTAACTTACTGATGACCCCCTGTAGAACCTACGGTAGGCCTGGACCCCTTATTACGACAAAGGCAAATATTTTAGATAAACCTTTTATTAACTTACGATTATCATGCTTGCAAAAAATCATTTGGCGTTCTCGATATAACGGCTTATACATATATTTAAAATCGCTACTCATTTAGAAACTATGATTCATTTGGTAAGTTTGATAAAAATTGGCAAAATACTTGGCAAATTACGTTCCAAGCTAAATTTGCGAGATTTCCGAAGTTTGACGTAAGTATGCCCATTGGACTGTTGCACTATTATTTATCTTTGATAGGATTTGGGAGCATTTAGTAGAAATTTCGAGGACGCGTGGGACCACGATTGTCATATCAACCCATTATATCGAAGAATGTAATCGATGTGATAAGGTGAACACTTAAATCAAACCATCTATGAATTATGTTTCTTAATTTGTGGAATAACTTGGATAAACGTGCTTCGGATTATTCATGGATTTAAACGATTTAAGAGGACACAAACATTTTACAAACACACGCATTTCGATTTATCAAGTACATCCAGGCGGATTTTTGTAGTTTAAGATAATTTGTGCATTTTTATTACTCCAAAATAAATCAGGGCGACATATTTTGAAAAATTTGGATTTCAAAACATTGAATTTGAAGGATTTATCTAGGATTTTACGAGTTCTTGCAATTTTATAAAATTAAAAATGCTCCTCCAGGTCGGTTTCTCGGCGAGGACGCACCGTCCGCCTTCCTCACCCTCTACAACTGCCCTTCTCTCGAGGAGGTCGCCCTCCAGCTGTGTCGACTGGACGAGAACCACGCCCCAATTTCGACCACACTACAACCCGATATTACCGGAAGTTCTAGCAGCCCGATATTTCAGGATGGGTGTGTCGTCAAGGCCAAGTTTTTTAGCAGATTGTCAACCACCTTACAAGATAACGTAGCCCTGTCGCCCATGAATGTCGATACGAACCACATCTCCATCATTCACACCCTCGTCGTCAAAGCTTGGCGGAGGCGGAAACGAGATTGGGTGTAAGGGCAACATATTTATATGAAGTTTAGTTCATATTTGTAGTCCAGATGTCAACGCAGCCGGTAGCATTTTATGCGCCGACGCTGCCGAAAAATCATCCACAATTGGCGACAAATTGGTCAACCATGTGGTCAGTACCACGTGGTATTTATATACCAGTCTACCAAGGTGGTTGTGATAAGTATCAGTAGTACCGATTGTAAAGTTTTACTACTTCTATATAAAAGTATTCTTACAGACCAGTATTTATAATTTTAATACCAAGTACTTAATTTTCATACTAGGCTCATTTTTGGCGAATTTTGTGTGCCAGTCTGTGTCTTCCTCATATTTCAAAACGTTGCTGGTCGCGAACCTCGAACCCTGCCGGTCTCCTTAGTCACGAACGATGTCAATTTATCCAATAATTCACACCTCTTTAAACACTGCTCACAAAACGTAACGAACCAAACTTCTTCCAAATGTTTGGAAAATTCAGGGATTTGTAATTTTTTGGAAAACTTTGAAAACAATGAATTCGATTGGGTAAGAATTTTTAAGAATTTTGGACGTTGGCATGTTATAAACACTTTGTAATTTTACATACTCAGATCACTACGTCGACGTATCAGGAAGGGTATGAGAGCATCCAGAATGGAAAAACCATCGCCCTCCTCGCCTTCCCAGGAAACTTTGGGCATCATATGAAGGACAGAATCGTCCAAAGAAATTTTGCAGACAGCGGGACCATCGACGGCTCCACGATAACGATCGCTCTGGACGAATCAAGTATGATTGAATTATCTATGTAAATACACTGTAAGAAATCAGTTATTGATTTCTCGGTATCAAAGTTGCTACGGCTTAGTCTTAACATTATACCGGCCATAAAAATTTACTACTGGTATGATAAAACTTTAATATCGAGCTACTACTACATACATACACTGTAGTACTGACCAATACCACTTTTGTAGAGTCATATGCATATATATATGAATTATATATTCTCACAATATCTTGGTATTATTTTAATACCGGATTTATAAGAGTATATGCATTTATGTAAAACGAGATAAACTTGAGCTGGTCGCTCTACTTTGTATGTACATATCTATAAATAAGCTTAAATTAAAAACTTCACGCTCACGCTAAAATTTAATCTTTTTCACACATGATTTCCGAGTTTTAAACTTGGAAATTACATACATATATATCTATGACTCACAAGGGACACTCACGACCTGTCGTTTGAGTCCAGAGTACCCACCATGTTTTTTAGAATCTACTAGGACCCCTGATGAAGGATTCATTCATATTTCCGTGTAAAACTCATATTTGGCCCAATGGCGTGGCGCCAAACTTAAAAATTTGCATTTTCGACCAATTTCAAACCCCCATAACTTTTGCAGTTTATGTCGGATTTTTAAAATTGTATGCTTAAAATGATCAGAAAAGTCGAAATTTTAGAGAAAAAAATAAAAATACAAAAATTTTAATTTTTGAGATATTTTTAGCATTTTTTCGACGAACCCGAAATTTCGAAATTTTGCGAAAAGTTAAAAGCGATAATTTAGGAAAAAATTTCATAGAATACGAAAGTTGAACTCCTTGTCATGATTTTTGCCAAAAATTTTGAAAATCCGTCCAGGATTTCAAAAGTTATGGCGGTTTTAAAATGAAAAACCATCAAATTTGGCGAATTTGGCGCCACGCCATGGCGCCAAATATGAGTTTTACACGGAAATATGAATGAATCCTTCATCTGGGGTCCTAGTAGATTCTAAAAAACATGGTGGGTACCCTGGACTCAAACGACAGGTCGTGAATGTCCCTTGTCAGTTTTGAAACTTATTGTCATAAAATATTTCTAGATTTAATAACATCGTCTTGGGCAAAGCAGACCATTGTAGCAAAATATATCGATTTTGTCACGGCCATAGCGAAGGCTTGCTCTTCAAGTCCTCCCGCAGCTCAGCAGGGTATTCCGACCCCGGGTTTTACTGGGTTGGGGTTTTGGGGTTTTACTGAGTGGTAAATTAATAAAACCCAGCGGGTTTTACTATGTTAAAGGGGTTTTACTGGGGTTTTACTGGGTTTTACTCGGGTTTTACTAAGTTTTATCTAAATTAAAATAGATAAATCAATAGAATCAGTTTGCAGGTGAATATCTAACTCGAATTAAGTACTCTGATTAATATTCCGTAAATTTCTCTATTTATTTCGAATTTTTGTTTGTGATCTAAAAATCATAATTTAAAGCTTGACTTGGAGTTTTATCAAATTTGTATTTTTCTTGTGTTTCTGGCATTTTGAATTGAAGTTTTTTGATAACTCTTGATAAAATTCATTAATTTAACAAATTGATATAATATTGTAAGTTTTATTACTTCGCCCCAAACATTGAGTAAAACCCAGTAAAACCCCAAAACCCAGTAAAACCCAGTAAAACCCCGAGGTAGTTGTTTTCAGAGTAAAACCCCGGGTTTTTCCGAACCCTGCAGCTCAGCCTCCTCTTCAAGTAAGGGATAAAACTACTGAACTGATTATGGGCAATTACTGACATTTTTCGAATGGTGAAATTAATTACAAAATTCAATTTCCCAGTACAACGCCATCTATGGAGGCATTGGGATTCACAGTTTCCTGGCATTTACACAACCCGGGATTTTAATTCTGTAAATTTATGTATTACATATCTGAAATTAAGAGTGATAAAATTTTGAAGCTGATTTACATATTTCATCCAGCACGATGTTCATGGTGTCCTTGTCGACCGGCGTGTTTTGGAGTATCGACAGAGCGGCGGGCCTGGAGGATCGCGACTACGCGGCCGGTGTGTCGCTTCGACATCTCATTGCAGCCAGCATGATTTCCGATTCGGTGAAAACAGTGGTCCAGATGGCGCTCTTTGTCACAATTTTATTCAGTCTTTATGACGTTGAGGTTAAAGGGTCACGGATAGTGGCGCTCAGCCTGATATTCGTGACCACCATGGCAGGAGTTGCGATAGGTTAGGTGGTTGGAGGAAGTTTAAATTTGGCGCGTTCTCATAAATTATTTTTCGATGCAGGGTGCATGATTTCTTCGCTGCGGGGCAAGGACATTGAAGTCATTATAATGGTGGTGTTAATCAACATGGTGCAAGGGTATTCGTCAGGTTAGAGTTTTTATTTATACAGGAATTTTTTGATCTCCAATTGGTAACGTGCGTTTAGTATGGCCCAACCATCTATATTATAAGCTGGAAATGCCTTTTGGCAACGGAAGTGAAAGTTATTTTGAGTGACGAAAGTGAAAGTGGAGAAAGTTAAGTTTCGAATGGGGCGAAAATTCAAAATAAGTTAAAAATTCAAAAATTTCAAGTCAGATGGTGGTTATCTTGGAGTTTTTGTTTAATGGTGCTTATCTGAAATTGGTTGTGTGATGGTGCTTATCTGGGAGTGGTTGTCTGGAAGTTGCGGTCTGTTTAGGGTTATGTAGGAGTGGTTGTCTTATGATGGTTATCCCGGGGTGATTATCTGGGGTGGTTGTCTAATTGTGGTTATCCTGGGGGAGGGTTATCTGGCAGGGGTTGTCTTATGATGTTATCTCGGGGCATACCTGTGCAGCTTCACTCAATTTCCGCAAATTGAAGCTTCATTCACGATGAAGGAGTGAAGGAGAGTGAAGCTGAGTGAGGGAGTTGAAAAGTTTGATCGAGTGAGTGAAGGTGAGTGAGGGAGGCCCAAATGAGAAATGAGTGGAATGAAGGGTGAAGGAGATAAGGCTTCATCTCCTTCATCTCTCTCACTCCTTCTCCTCCGGGTGAAGGAATACAGGGTAGATAATTAGTTTACATACTCAAATAAGCGTCGCAATATTAACATAGTACGGTCTCATATTACCCCATGCAATTTTCACCGTGCCCCAACCCAGTCTCACATTACCCCAGCCCAGTCTCAGATTGCCCCAGTCGAATCTCACATTGCCCCAGTCCAGTCTCACGTTACCCCACTAGATGGCGCCAAAAATACTTTATGATGACTCGAGGGACTGAATTGACTGAAACAAAGAGTGAGGAAAATAGCTGAGTGAGGGGAATGAGTGAAATATAAGGAGTGAGGGAGTGAAGAGAACTAGATTTATCAGTGAGTGAAGCCTCACTCAGGAGGGGAGCTTGCGAGGTTGATAATAACAGATCCTGATGCCCTTTGGATATGTGGTAGGGTCCTATGAGTGTACTAAAACCCTGAAGTGGTTTGACTCCATAGCCACGTTTGCGCCCGCCACACCCACTCAAAAATGCCCAAAAACCGCTTTCACTCCAGTTTTCACTCACTCAAATCCACGCCAAAAATCCAATTTTGCTCGGATTTTGAAATTTCTTTCACCATTACACTCCCAGATAGTTGCTTTCTTCAATCCAATGTCAATCTCAATTTTGATGATGATTATTTCGCAGGCATAATTTGCGTTGTTGATTACTACAACATTGCTCATTCAGAATTTTAAATTTTAAAAATACTAATAATTTCGAAAATATTGAGTTTGATATCGAATTGAAGAAAGCAACTATCTGGGAGTGTAATGGTGAAAGAAATTTCAAAATCCGAGCAAAATTGGATTTTTGGCGTGGATTTGAGTGAGTGAAAACTGGAGTGAAAGCGGTTTTTGGGCATTTTTGAGTGGGTGTGGCGGGCGCAAACGTGGCTATGGAGTCAAACCACTTCAGGGTTTTAGTACACTCATGGGACCCTACCACATATCCAAAGGGCATCAGGATCTGTTATTATCAACCTCGCAAGCTCCCCTCCTCAGCCTTCCTTCACGCGAGTGAGGGGAGTGAAGGGCAATTTGGCTCGAGGTGGGAATGAGTGAAGTTGAGTGAGGTGAGATTCACTTGCTCAGGTATGTCTCGGGGTGATTATCTGGGAATGGTTGTCTGATGATGCTTATCTGGGGTGGTTGTCTGATTGTGGTTATCTTGGGCGAGGGTTATCTGGCAAGGGTTGTCTTATGATGGTTATCTCGGGGTGATTATCTGAGAGTGTTGTCTGATGGTGCTTATCTTGGAGTGGTTGGCTGATTGTGGTTATCCTGGGGGGTGGGTTATCCGGGGTCGTTGTCTAATTGTGGTTATCTTGGGCGAGGGTTATCTGGCAAGGGTTGTCTTATGATGGTTATCTCGGGGTGATTATCTGAGAGTGTTGTCTGATGGTGGTTATCTTGGTGGGGAAGGTTATCTGAGAGTGTTGTCTGATGGTGCTTATCTGGGAGTGGTTATCTAATCGTGCTTATCTGGGAGTGGCTGTTTAATGGTGCTTATCTGGGAGTGGTTGTCTAATGGGGGTAATTTGGGGCTGGTTTTCATGGGGGGGTTATCTGGGGAGATTATCTTGGAGTGGTTATCTACGATGGTTGTCTGATGAAGGTAATCTAATAGTGGCTATCCTGGCTACTTTATTTTAAAGTAAAGTAAAGTTAAAGTGAAGTGGAAGTTGGTAACGGGTTGGTCACTTTAAAGTAAAGTTAAAGTGAAGTGGTACAGTTATGTACACCCGGGGCTGACTTCTAATTCACTTCCAGGGCACTTCGCAGTGAAGTAGCCAAGACAACCTGTGACACAGAGCTCAAGATAACTACCATGAAACATTTAATTTTGTTTAATTCACTAATTTCCAGAGACATTTCATTTAGCTTATTTTGAATTTACCCGTCATTCTAAAGTATCTTTACTATCACTTTTGCTGAGGAACATTTACTTTTACTTCGTTGCCGGCAGACATTTGCAGGTAATGATTCTCGCTGGCCCGGCGGGAGACGGGCTTAT